ATATTTTGCAAAAGCCTATTATTATTTAATAGCTAAAGATACTCATTAGGAAATATTTCTGTAGAAAAAGAAGTCTTTCTGATTTGATGTGAGTTGCAAGTATAAAACTTGGCACCTCATTTTTCATTGTTTTATGGGTGCAGTTAAAAAAAATTTGGTCTGTGATTTCTTAACCACGCCTGAATTAATAATATAGAAAAGAGAATAGAAATTACTGTCTCTGAAATTGGTTTACACATAGTGTATTCAAGCAATACAATTACTTTGGCTTTATACAGAATGGCGCGAATATAGAAAATGTTTGTCTAGTTAAGTTAGAAAATATTAGAGGCTTTAAAAATTCCCCTTCTATGTGGCCAGTGGATTATTCCTTCAATTTATTGCTCAAATAGTGCTTTTATAATCAATGTGGTGGTGGGGAGATAAACTAGAGAAAGTATTGAAAATTTGGTTTGTCAGTACATGTATTGTGTATGCACATATGCTTGTATGAAGACACACATAGATGCATATGTACATGATGTGCAAATCAGTAAGTTACTGTATGAACTTGACTATATGCCTGTGAAGAGACCTTACGTATTTCTAATGACATAAAAATAATTAAGTGCTTGGAGAAGCTTAGCTTCATACTACCAATTTTATATATACATACAAATTTTCTATATATATACCTACCTACTGGAAGTTTAATATGATTTCAACTAAAGTTTAGAAACTGAAAAAAGTWGGGAAAATAAGGTAAATACAGAATGACATAAATTTGTTAATAATTTAAACCGAAGAAACCAAATTTAATTTTGCTGCCTTCAAAATGCTTCAAGTTGCCAAATACTTGTTTTTAGTTTAAAGATGAATTTGTTTTTAGTTTAATCATGGAAAAGGTTAAACATATGTGTTTAAGTGTATTTTTATATTCCTTGAGCTTTGTGTAGATCCTCTATGTCACTTAGGGCAAATCACTATTAATTTCTCAAACTTCAGCATATGAAATTACTAGTGTTTCCTACTGGTTTGGGAGGCCAGGTAACTGTATTTTAGATACAAGTAATACTTTCCTCTACACTAGATCACAGTTAGTTGACCTAACCTTTACACTGAACCCTTGCTGTAAATGCACTCCTTTAGGTACAGTAATTAGGTATAGATATTATTGTTAGAGAGATATACAATAGATGATTGTGTTTCCTGTCAGATAAAGTGTCTGATTTCAACAGTTTGCACATTTCTGTGCTAAGAAGTCCTTGAAATTAGAAGAAAATACTAATGCTACTTAGGCACCTAGATTATGCATTTGCAGCAGAAGCTTTTGTAGTGGAAGTCCACTGGATTTTGTTGTTTATTGTTGTTAATAAGTGTATTGTTGTTTATAAATTTATTGATGTAAAACCTGATGTCAARTATATGATCACTTTCTCAAAACTTCATGTACCATAACTTTAACAAGTTTAACTTTGGAAGAACCTAAAAATATTTTATCTTTTCATCCATTTGTCAGCTTTCATTGCAGCTTCACAGGAATGTTTTGTTGTGGAATGAACTTTTAAGGGTAACGATGCTAAACAAGGAATCTGAAGGATTTTCCTTTCAACTTTGCCATTTTGAAATTAATTGTCTCAAGTGTGATCACATGGCACACACAGGACCAGGGGATCAGGCCCAGCCAGCATGGGYTTAGGAAAAGGCAGGTCCTGCCTGGCCAATCTGATCTTGTTTAYGATGAGGTGACCCACCTAGYGGATGAGGGAAAGGCTGTGAATGTGCCTACCTTATTCCAGTGTCAAAGACTGTTTCCCGGCATTCTCCTGGAGAGGCTGCAGCCCATGACTTCAACAGGTGCATCTTTGTTGGGTTAAGAACTGACTGGGGCTAGAGAATGGTGGGGAATAGCACCAYGTGCAGCATTCAGCCAGTCATTAGTGGGGTTCCTCAGGGCTCAGKTTTGGGCCCAGTTCTRTTTAATATCCTTATGGATGACCTGGATGAGGAGATTGAGTTACCCTCAGTAATTTTGTGGATAACACAAAAGTTGAACTTGAACGGGAGTAGGATAAGAAAACTCTGTAGATGGGTCTGGACAGGCTGGATCAATGGGCCAAGGCCAACAGTGTGAGGTTCAACAAGGCCAGGGGCTGGGCCCTGCTGTTGGGTCACCACAGCCCCGCACAGCACTCCAGGCTCTGGCCAGGATGATTAGAAAGCTGCTCAGCAGAAGGAACTTGCAGGTGCCTGAATGGAAGCTGCGTGTGCCCAGGTCACACAAGGCCTGTGGCATCCTGCCTCGGATCAAGAACAGCATGACCAGCAGGTCCAGGGTAGTGATTATCACTCAGTACTGGCCACTGATGAGGCCACACCTCAAATCTTGGAGTCACTTCTGGGCSCTCACTGCAAGAAAGACATTGAGGGGCTGGAGTGAGCAGGGTTTGTTTGGCCTGGAGAAAAGGAGGCTTGGAGAGACCTTTTCACTCTCTACAACTTCCTGACAGAAGGGTGGAGCTAGGTGGGGGACAAAAGGAAATGGCCCCTCGAATTGTGGCCCAGGAGGTTCAGTTTGAACATCAGGGAAAGTTTCTTCATGGCAGGAGTTGACAACACAGATATTACAAGTTTTCAATTCCCCTTGAAGCTGCTAAATGGAGCTTAAAGACTATGTAGTAAAACAGATAAAAGAAAGTAACAGAAAATGTACAGGATGCTAAATTAGCTGGAACCAGTGGATAAACAGATGATGAGGAACATAGTGGCTTTTGTGGCAAAGCCGTGTAACAAAAAGCAACAGCGCATGCTCTAAGAAAAATTCAAGGCAAGGTCATCTGTGACATTTTGGGTACTCAGTGAGTGCAACCACCAGAGACCCCTTTATATGASCCTCTAGGACCGTAAAAGGACTTCCAGTAAAGGGTGGAGACATGCAAATTAAGTCTAGGAAAAGTGAAGTGTATGTATTACCCGGGGAGTACACTATAATGAATATGTATGATAATGATGGAGTAAGTGCCTTGCCGTGAAATTTAATGACATACCTGCTTAGAGGAGATATCATCTGGATATGCTCAGCATGCTCAGAATAAAGAATACCTGCTTTCTAATACTTCAAATTGTGTTAGAAAGTTTGTTTTCTAGCTGATTTTTTTATCAGTAGGGATATTTGGGGATTTGAGCTGTATTTTACGTTATATGTGTTATTTTCTGTCAGTGCCGAAGTCACAGTGTTTAGTGGTTACTTTCAAATAATTGTTGATTAAATCTCAGTAAAATGTAGCACACTGAAGTTTTCTAGGTGTCCAGCCTACTTGGTTTCTTTCTTCATCTCTTGAAGATGACATCTCCTCTGAGTCTTACAAAAATTAAATTGCATTTGAAAGTATATTTCAGAATTRCACATACTTAACATCACTGACTTTGGAGGACAAGTTTTTTGCCTAAACAGCTTCCAAAGTAGTTCAAACATAGTGTCATGTTTCTTCTGAACAATAGAATAGTCAATTTTATGTTTATTCCCGTAAGTGAACCTAATATAATGCTGAACTATCTTGTCTTCCTGATATGAGTACTTACAAGCCATTTGCTTTCAGAATAGTTTTTTCCAGTTTATTTGGGTGTCTTGTTAACAATAGCTTCATTTTTTCCTTCTTCTTTTTTCAGTATTTATATGATCTGTCTGAAGGTAAGCTTGTGATGGAACTTTGGTTTAGAGCCTATTCTTGGGCTACTATTCTCATTTTTTTTCATTTCTTTTCAGTATTTTCCTGAGTCAAATTTGATGGCAATTGACAGGGTAGGACCATAAGAGAGGATCGCATATTTATCCACTCGGGTCTTTTGTAGTTGTGTGAAAATGCTCAAGGTAGAAATTTAGCTGTCAAACAAAATGACAGATTATTTTTCCCCTCATTCCCTTTAAATTGTGTATTGAAAAACAATGCATTCCCTTATTTGCATTTGGATTATTTAGCATAGTTGGTGTTCTGTTATCAACCAATGGCAAGTGTATTCAGTCTGGAAAATAAACAAATTTTTCTGTATATTGAACAAAAATTTTTCAAAGCCAGCTAAAATTGACACTACCCTGTTGTCCAGCTGTACAAGTTTTGCTAAACAGATAATTCCAAGGTGGTTTGAAAGAGAATTTGATAGAAACAGCTTGTGAGCATTCTGGTTTTGGGTACATTACTGCAGATGAGAAATTGATAGAATGGTTTGGGTTGGATGAGGCCTTCGAGATCATCCAGTCCAACTCTCTGCCACAGGCAGAGTCCCCTCCCATTATTCCGGGTTGCTCCAAGCCCCGTCCAACCTGGGCACTTCCAGGGAGGAGGCAGCCACAGCTTCTCTGGGCAGCMTGTGTCAGGGCCTCACCACCCTCACAGGGAAGAATTTCTTCCCAATATCCAATCTAAATATTATCCTGTATGTTTAATTCAACATTTAACATTTTTTCTCTGAAAACAGCTTTGCGAGGGGTGTTTTTCGAGCTTCTTCTATATTCAGAACAAGATTTGCATTATAGTTTGGTACTCTAGAAAGATAYGGAATAGAACAAGAAACAGTAATATTCAGAAGTAGTGCCAAAGTTAATCTCTGTCATACTAAAGTACTTCAAAATTATTGAAAGGGAAAATACTTAACATTTTGCATTATTGATATATGATGTATTTTATTTTTTCAGAAACAAAAAATGAGACAAGTGTACAAACAAAAGTTCACAGTCGTATTTCTGCATTTCAGTAAGCTAAAGGATCATACAGTAATTACCCAGTGTTGTGTTTGAGCAGAGTGATGGTGGTGGTTTCGTTTTGTCGGGTTCACTCAATTTCTAGAAAAAGAAAATATTCTGGTAGTTAATTGAAAGCAAATCCTAGTTGGTTTAATGGCTAACCTCTCCAATAAATTTAGATTCTGTACTGTAGGGCCATCTGATCTTTTATAAATAACAGGAATTTCTAAAAGTGTTCAATACCTCAACATTGAGTTAAAATTCTGTATGTTATTTACAGGTGCCGACTGTTCAGACTTCGCTATCTGAATCTCCAGTGATGACCAGCCCTTCCCAGCGTATCCAGATAATTTCCACAGACTCCTCTGTAGCTTCACCACAACGCATTCAGGTAAAAATCTATTTATTAACCAACTATTATGTCTTCTCTTCTTTTCTCCTCCTCCTCCCACTTAGGTTTATACAAAAGCATGCTAAAGTCTATGGAATACTTCCTTTAAGTTTTGTGAGAATAGATCATTTTTAATGAAAACTAAAATTCTTTCCCCCTCAGCATTTATTTGGTGGTGAATAGATGGCTATATATAATAGTTATATTGATGATGTAGCCAGTGAGGAATATTTACACAGGTGGCCTAGCTGACACTAGCAAATCTCCTGATCCCTGGCCACAGCAAAAGGTCAGACATTGTCAACAGAACATCTGAGATCACCTCCAAGTACATTCTTCTTCCCACTTATTTAAGAGCCAGTGGGAGATTATTCTATTTAGCATAAAGTTGTCCTTAGGGAATGCTGCATAGTGGGTCTTTGTTACTGGTAGATATTAAAAAGATGTCATTAATATATCAGAATATATGCAGTGGCAAATTATATAGGACTTATTAAGTTTTAATGAAATACTGGTGCATATTGATATGATTACTCTACAAGGCAAAATAGACCTTATGCTACCAGACAGAATCAGAAACAGAAACCTTCCATCATAAGAGAATCCTGTTTCTCAGCATGAGAARCAATATGGCTGCCTGATTCCATCTTCTGTTGATAACTTTAGGAAGTAATATCTTATATAAAATGCATAGGTAAAAAAATGCATAGGTAAACGTTAATGGGAGAACATCTCCTTAGTGCCATTTATAAAGAAAAATTGGAGAGAGCTTCTTTGTAACTCTTCATAGGCATGATTCTGAGATGGAACGAAAGGTTCTAAAACATAAAATTTACTGTGATAATGAATTTCTTCAATGTTTTACAGATTGTGACAGATCAGCAAACAGGCCAGAAAATTCAAATAGTGACGGCAGTGGATTCAGCTGTGTCTCCAAAGCAACAGTTCATTTTAGCTAGTCCAGATGGAACTGGTGCAGGAAAGGTGATCTTGGCAGCACCTGAGACATCTAATGCTAAACAGCTTATCTTTACCACCACAGACAACATTGTGCCAGGCAGAATTCAGGTAAATACAGTAGTTTAGATAAACCATAGGATTTTGGTTTTGACTTTATTTAGTTTGTAAATTAAGTCTAATTTACTTTTAAGACCAAGTGCAGTAGTTTTCTCATGGCATGGATCAGACATACTAATTTTAGGCTTCATTGTTCAATCACAAATCCTTCCGTCTTCATGTTCCTCATGCATTCCATTGCACTCATCATCCCTCATTGTGTGTTCTCATTCAAGTTCCAAAGACATAAGTGAATACTTAAGGTAGCACTAGTGAGAAGTGCCAGGATTTCTCAGTCTGCTCGAGATTCACAGATATACAGAGATACAATTCTCCTGAGCAAATTTACGGGAGTTCCTACTTTACATTCAGTATCAAGACATTGCAATAACAGGTATTTAGAGTAGAAGATGTCCTCTGCTATGTTTTTTTGTGGTCTTGAGCATAATCTACACCAACAGGAGCTTTGCAAAGTCAGTGTTATAAACAATAATCTACCTCTAGGGAGATTTGAGATTTCTTCCTAGCAGTCTTCAAAAAAAAAAGAAAAAGTGCCTGGTCCCTATTGCTACTATTACAATAAAGAATATTTTGTAGGAAGAAGAATCATTTTTACATAAATATTTTAAAAATTCTATTAACAGTTTTAAAATTTATTTTTCTGTGCTGAATAGGATGTCTGATATTACAGAAGGGTGGGGTTTCAAAATTTTTCTTGGTTAAATGGAATGTTCAGAACAGAAGTTTTGAAATCAAAGGTCTTTGGAAGCTAAGTGGTTTCTCTGATAGATCTCAGCTTCAGGCTATTCCCTCTGAACCATATATTCCTAATAGCTAGAGAACAGATAGATGGGAACAGCATATGAAAGCCAGTGTCTGGCTAAAATATCACAGCTGTTTGATGCAAGATGGGGGAAAAATGCTCGGTACACAAGTGAGAGGACATTTGTACTGAACAAAGCTAGCAGTTTTATTTGAAATTTGTTTTGTTATGACTGTTTCAAAAGTCTCACTATTGACAGTAAGAACTCTCTTAAAATTGTGTTTTATACTATTTAATTTCATTCCACATGTCTTACTTATCCATAAATTTGGTCCCCTCTTCTAGGTGATATGCATGTTTTGTTCTGTAGGCAAAGTTTCTTACCTTCATGCTTGGCTAATTACAATCTCTTTGTTCTGGAATTTTTCTTTAGATAGTGACAGATTCTGCTTCAGTGGAACGTCTGCTGGGAAAAACTGACGTTCAGCGACCCCAGGTAGTAGAATATTGTGTAGTCTGTGGTGATAAAGCATCAGGTAAGGAAGCATACAAAGTGGTATTGAAGAAGCTTGCTTGAAAGGATGACTGTGATGAAGAGATGATTTTTCATGTGCTTTAACTGGTTTTAGCTATGCTGAATTGCAAAAGTGGTGGAGCTTTTAAATGGAAAAATATAACATACTGTGTATCTATACACAAAAAATAGCTAAACTCTGCTTGGAAGAATACTAATTTTTTTCTAAGAACTGAAGCATATGATAAGTTGGCTGAAAGATAAAATAATGATTAAATAGCTCCTGGTAAGGGAAAAAGACTACTTGAAGCATGTAGTCAAGTTCCCCACAGTTATGGGTAACTATGGAACACACATCACCTGAAAAATTCTAGCTACTCCAAGAAAATGCTTCTTAATGGCATCTAACAAACTTAACACTTCCTGCTAGATTTTCTTCTTCTACTATCAGAGAAAAAGGCCAGTAGAGGTCACATGAATCCTCGGTGTTTTAGATCCATGCAGTAACAAGGAGTCTCAGGTATACTGTGCTTTCATGCTTGAGAGAAGACACCCCKCTGTCTCTTTCTCTCGCTTTCTTGTTTAGGTGTTGATGTAATTAAAACAATACCAGAATTGATATGGAGAGGGAATTTAGATGAAGATTGTGTTTCAATTTTGTTGTAAAATTGCTTGTTTTCTGAAATTACTTGAGCTCTTAGCCTGTATGTTCTCTAAATGTATCCTATAGTCTGTAACAGTGGATAGATTTGTATTGTACATATGCAGAATGGGAACTATGTCTTCATAGACTGTACATTCAGAAATAGGCTTAGCCTTCCTCTCTTCTCTCCACTGTCTCATCAAAAGCCCTGACCCACAGGTAAACCAGAAATCTTTTGTGAGACTGTAGTAGTGCTTTCATGGTCCAAAATATTGGACAAAAACAAATTTAAAGGGTGACTTACAAGAACAAGTGTTTTACTGTCTTAAAATAAGTATTTCTATGCTAAAATGTAAGTAATTTCCATCTGATGACAATATATATATTTCCTAGGTCGTCACTATGGTGCTGTCAGTTGTGAGGGATGCAAAGGTTTCTTTAAAAGGAGCGTAAGGAAGAATTTGACCTACAGTTGTCGTAGCAACCAGGACTGTATCATCAATAAACACCATCGAAATCGATGCCAGTTTTGTAGGCTTAAGAAATGTCTAGAGATGGGCATGAAAATGGAATGTGAGTGTTAAGTATTTAATGTGTTAAGTACTCAACTGTGCCTACTGAATAACAAATATGTGGACTACCACTTTTTAGTGTGTTCTCTCTGTTTTGGTATATGTTTCTTGAAGGAAAAAGAACTTTTTGCAGCATCTACTGCACCTGTCTTTCATCACCATTTTATGTCTGAGGTGCAGGTATGTTTTGAACTGTGTCTTCAAGTACTGTTGTATTTGAGGAGCCCTGTTAGAGCCTCACTTAAAATGCATGTTACAAACACAATGTATGTTTATAATACAAAGTATTTGTAGACATGGATATACATGAATCTGAATCTAATATTCTGTTTTGAGAATCTACTTTCCTTCCAGTTTATTTTTGCAGCTTTTTCAACCAGCAGTAGAAAGTAGTTAGACATTTTTCTCCCTCTTTTAAAATTTTTGTGTTTATTTGGTCATTCGTGAGCAGTGTTTTATGAGTCGTTTTATGGAACTGTCATATTTTTTTAAATATGCTTTCATGTTTGTATGCAGTATTTCATACATTTCCAGTGCTAGCAGCCAAACAACTGTTTCAATAAAGTTTTGTTTTCAGTTTGTATCACCTGTTCTTCTGCAATTTCACACTTTGTGAAACTATTGCAAGGTTGTTTTGTAGTCTGATCTAGGCAGGGTAAATTCCAGCCACTGAGTTCCAGGGAGGCAGAACTTTAAGCGGTAAATAGGGAGATAATTGTTGTATTTGCACTCTGAAACTCTAGACCTGTCATGATGATTCTGGTCCTTTGCACGCAAKGTGCTGAATATAAGAGGAGACATTTGTGCAAGAAAAACTGCTGCAACTCGGGAAAGTAAACCTTTCTTATCCCAGTATGATTAGGATATATGTTTACTATTTGGTTCAGGCTTCTGAATAATAGTTATATATTCACCAAGCCAGAAAATTTGATATACTTTGCAAATAGTTACAATGTTAGCAAAATAAAATCAGGAACTGAGTGACTCTTGCTGGTTATGAGTACTATTTCTGTAGTATGTTTAATAGTAGTGTTTTAATATTATAAAGGTGCACTTTTCACTTTCTTTGAAAGTTACAAAGTTACTGCATCTTACTATTTCTATTAAAAGCTTTGCTACATTTGTACAGCACTTCAGAACTCATTTCAATTCTCAAGTAGAAATACTATAGATAATGGGAGGGTTAGTTTAGCAACACTCTTCTCTAACTGGGTGGAATTAATGGATGTAAATGTGTATCATGCAGCGAGTATCCTCTCAAGGAATGAACCTGCATCTCTCAAGTTACTGCCTCTCTTGACTTTTTCAGGGTTCCTTCTGGGCTTGTATTGTTTTGTATCATCAAGAATAGGAATGTACCTAACACTTAGATATAGTTGTGCCTGTTAAAAAAAAAATAAATAAAACCCCTACCAAATTGAAAATGCAATCTATAGAATTTTCCATCTTATAAAATGCAAAAAAAAAATAGCAATATTTGATCCCAGTTCAGTGAAACTTAAAGCAGAAGATCAATCTGTGTCTTTTTTAGTTAAAAGTATATATAAAAATATGCATACTCACAGACACAGTAACATTGGACCCTGTGTTTTTTCACTCTTGGTATTAAATTTCCAGTACCGAGCTGGTACACCATCATAACTGCAAGATTTTTACTTTCATTTTGTTTTTTTTTTTTTTGTTTTAATGGTTTCCTCTCAACTGTGAATGTTTGTATCTTTATGTAGCGGTTCAAAGTGAAAGAAAGCCTTTTGATGTGCAGCGTGAAAAACCAACCAACTGTGCAGCCTCTACTGAAAAAATCTATATAAGAAAAGATCTTCGAAGCCCTCTAATAGCAACTCCAACATTTGTGGCAGATAAAGATGGGACGCGGTGAGTACCTGAGTTCCATGCATCTTCTTTCGGGTTATTTGTGCATATTACTTTGCAATCACACTTACATTCTGTCTCCCCTCTACTCTCAGAGGAAACAGAAAAGAACTCTAATGCACACATCATCTGTTAGCATTACCAAGAGCAGTGTGGTTTTCAGTTTGGAGCTGGCTCTTGTCCAGGCAGGTCAGAGCAAAGGCAGAGCAAATAAATGATACTCAAGCAAAAAACATGTAGGCTAATGCAGTGATGCCTCTGGGTTAGCACTTCTCTGAAATCAAATCTGCAAATGGCAGACTCAGGCTTCCTTCTCCTACCGACAGTAGTTAGAGACTCAATGACTGCTGATTCAGATCCCAAGAGACTTGTTTCAGCAGCAGCAGCTTCCTTTTATCGTAAGGAAGATACTCCAAAATGGTTCCTGCACTCTCAGATATCTCCATAGACAGTAGGTGTGCAAATGCACATCATTGCAAACAGAGGCAAGATTTGTTTTTTTTCTGAATAGAATAAAAATGAAGTCTGGGTTAAATAAAACATTTTTAAAACTGTGGTTTATGAATGGTTGAGAACCACCTAAAAAATTGTATCTTATTATTCAGTTTTCAAATATATATGTGTGTGTGTCCACATTTTAAATGTTCACGTATATATTCTTTGTTGAATAAATGACACTGCAGTGTCATTAGGAAGTTTCTGCTGCAGATTTCTTGAAGGATTGTTTTTCAGTGTTCTGATTTGAAAGTCACATTGTTCAAAAGTACTCACAGACACATTTGCTTCTTAGAAATTTCCTTGACCTACAGGTTCATTACAGACCTTTAAAGAATACTATAGTCATTAAATGCAACTCTGTTATTTATGTTGGACTGAAATTTGCATAATGTGTGGTAATTTGTTACACGTGCTTGTTCACAATGATAGTTGTTAGTGTCAGATTATACTATAATGTCCTGCAGCCTGAACCTGTGTTGCGTGCATTGGTATTGTGCTGCGGAGACTTGGAGCATCACRTAAGTAGCAAATAAACTTCTTGCTGACTGCAGACTTTCCACTGTCTCCCTAAATTAGATACGTGAAAAGGGCAAGGATGTTTGGTCAAAAAGCAGCAGAAGTAAAGGCTGCAGGGATTTTGTGCAGGCCTTGATTACATGACTGTTTCTGACTATATTTTGGAATCAATAAATAYTTTTATGACTTTCAGTGCTGTCTGTTGTCTAGCTTGGAATGCATAGTTATGCCTTCCTCCAAAATCTAATGTAAAACTAGAGCTACGAGGTGACTTCTGAGAGCATGAAAACACAACAAGTTTCCTTAAAGCAGACTAAACCAGAACCAAGAGCAAATGAGAGAATATGCATTTAATAAGTTGTCATTGTTTTGTGCAGGAAATTGAAAGATATTCCAGTCTACCTATCTTTCAGGCTACTTTTTGGAAACTGCTTCAGAAAGACTTAAGTTCTGATGAACAAACTGTAAGCCTCAGTAAATTTTTAATTTGAAAACTGTCATAGGTTGTTACATATTCTTCTGATTAATGTAAAATACCATTGACCATCAGATGCCTTATGCTTTTGAACAGGTCAGCCGGTCTTCTTGATCCAGGAATGCTTGTGAATATTCAGCAGCCTTTGATCAGGGATGATGGTACAGTTCTCCTTGCTGACGCCAAGGTATTACTGTCTCACTTCATTCTGAGCATCTATATTAATTTGTTCAGATTATTTTATCTATTGTACATACTCAAATAGTTGTTGCTCTTGAGAAGATAAGGTTGTGATAAGTGTGAAAAGCTGTATGAAAGGAGGTAATAAGTCAATCAACAGGATCATAGTTTCTTTTGGCGAGCTTATTTTTGCAGTTCAACCACACGTAGATCCCCATATGATGTCTCATCTGGGACTGGGATTGATAATTAGAATAGGATTTCAAGATAATTGAGAGCCATTGTTCCTCCATGTAGGCATTCAGAAGGAAGGAAAAGGTGCATAAGGAAAAAAGAACAAAAATACTAAAAATGGGGAAAAATTATATATGATATATTAATTATAATTTTGATTTACTAATACAGGTTTTCCTTTTTAGGCTGAAACAAGCCAGGGTGCCTTAGGAACACTAGCAAATGTTGTAACATCTCTTGCTAATCTCACTGAGTCACTAAATAATGGAGATACTTCAGAAGTTCAACAAGAAGACCAATCTGCAAGTGAGATTACACGGTATGCATTTTTTTCAGAACCTTATTTAGCAATTTGTTCTGTGTGGTGTATCCTTATACTCATTCATTGAAGGAATTTGGCATTGTAACACCAAACACAGTACAGATTGCCTCGGCTTTGAAACACAAAACCAGTTCTTTAAAAATCAGGTTTGGCTCTTATTCTGTTGTGAAGAACTGTGTCCTGTGTTACAAATTTAGTGTTATGAAGCAAGACCAGGTTTGATTCTCAGTAAAATAATAAATTATTAGTTTGTGACTTTGAAAGACACTGAGTACAGCAACACTTCAGTGGTGTTTAATGTCACAGGTGTATTTTATGTAAGCTTATCCTGTGCAATACTTGTGCCCTTAGCCCTGCTCTTTAGGGGTCTGTGATACTGCAGATCTATTTTTGAGATTGTGCTGCCATAAAATCTCCTGGTAATGTAGGTTTAGAAAGAGTTTGAAGTCTTTCTTTTCTTTGTTAATGAAAAATATGTGAAAAAGGAACATGGAATATTAAAATTTCCAGCAGAGCTTGAGATTTGCCATGCTGGGTTTTTTTTTTGTTGGATGTTTTTGCTTGTATTTTTGGGGGGGGACCCAGGTAGGTTGAATTTAGAAGTATAAGTTAATAAGATAAAATACTTGGACTCAAAGCTGTCCACTTTTTCTCWAAAGGAAGACTTTTAAGAGGAGCTTAACTGTTGTGGCTTAGAAGTGGTGTCCTCCAATTTAATGTTCCCACTTAAGGTATGCTGCCACTTGCTCCCCGCTCCAATTCCAGTTGGAGGCACAAAAGGCAAAGGTTGAAATAAGAACAATTTACTGGAAACGGCAGTGAGACTAGCAAACACACAGTAACAGCAAAATGGAACTGATACCAATAATATTAATAACAAAAAGTACAAGACAAAGAAATTATTTGCACAGAAAAGCCCCTGAATATAAACAAGAGCTACTGTAAAAAGATAACCCTGTCCTGGATGGGAAAAGGACATTAATTCATGCTCTTAAGTCTTTAAATTAAACTCTTCAAGTGAGAGATTTAATATTTAAAAATGCTTGACACTGCGATGTCAACTTATGTCAACCTCATAGTCTTTCTTTAAAGCAGAAAAAAAAAAATTTAAAAACCCTCCCGCAAAAAAACAACTGGACAAAAAAAGTAGCAAAGCAGCACTATACGATAATATTGTCCACTGGTATGAAATTGGAACACAAAATACTTCTTTATGACTAAATTCTGTTATCCTAAGAGAATTCACTCATTCTCTTAGGATAGCAGAATTTATTTGGGTAATGATCCAGCATCAGCTTGAGTATAAAGGAGACCAGGGACCAGTCTCTTATCAGTGTTACTGTCATAAGGCTTCTAAGGTCTATCTTGAGAGATCAGGAGTGCCAGGCCRTATTTCATCTTAAAGGAAAGGAAATTTGGGCATATTATCTGGAAGAAAACCACACTGTTCTGCAGTGTTTCAAAAAATGGGAGATCAAGGATGGGGACAAGGACAGAGACTTTTTTTCTTCAGAGTACATCTGGTCTGTAATCCTCACCTGATCTGTAAGAAGGGTAAGTGTAAGAGGACTGTTGTGGTTTAAGCCCAGCTGACAACTAAGCCTCACACAGCCGCTCGCTCACTCCCCCACCAGTGGGGCTGGGGATGGAATCAGAAGGGTACAAGTGAGAAAACTCATTGAGATAAAGACCGTTTAGTAGGTGAAGCAAAAGCCACGCACACAAGCAAAGCAAAGAAATTCATTCACTACTTCCCATGGGCAGACTGGTATTCAGCCACCTTCAAGACAGAGATCCAGCACTTTTAGCAGTTACTTTGGAAGACAGACTCCATCATGCCAAATATTTCCCCACTTCGTCTTTTTCCCCCCTTCTCTATATAGTGAGTGGATGTTATGGAGTGTGGAATATCCCTTGGATCATTTGGGGTCAGCTGTCCTGGATGTGTCATCTCCTAATTTATTATGCACCCCCAGCTTCCTCACTGCAGGGAGGTCAAGAAGCACAAAAGGCCTTTACACTGCGCAAGCACTGCYCTGCATAACAAAAACATCTCTATATTATCAACATTGTTTTCCGTACAGATCCCAAACACAGCTGCATACTAGCTACAGTGAAGAAAATTAGCTCAACTAAAACCAGCATAGCACAAGACCCCTTTACTAGTACAAATACTAAGATAAAACTATCTTCCCTTACAGGGGAGATACTTTACCAGCAATATGTGTACGGATCCGTTCCTTTTATTAATGCCCAAAGAATACCGAGGGACCAAATTGTAATGAAGAGTCTGACCTTGTGTCAGCCTACAGAGTTCTTGTCTATGTTGTCTCTAAGTGGAAATGCTTTATAAGCATTTCATTTGAGCACTACTGTGATTTTTTTAAAGTATAAGGAAGCACTCTTTAATTGTTTACTGATTTAATATTTTTTAGGGCATTTGATACATTGGCCAAAGCACTTAATACCACAGATGGTACAATAGCTCATAACTTGACAGATGGGATGGATCCTACAGGAGCAGGGAATATTCATGTAATCAGTAGAGATCAGTCAACACCGATTATTGAAGTGGAAGGACCCCTACTTACAGACACACATGTGACATTTAAGGTATGTGCTTCTTTAAATGTCTTGTTAAATAAACTGATGTTTAAGATGTATGAGCTCTTTTCTACATAATTTTTTGTCTCGTATTCCTAGTCTGCATTCCTTGCCAGTAGTAATGAGTTATTTAGCACGGTTTTCCTTTGACAGCTTCTTGTCRCACTGGTGATTGTGATGGACTATGAGAGTAGTTTGAATGTTTTTGCCAGTTATTTTGTTGACGATACAAACTGGTTTATGTCTGAACTATGTGTATTGTACTGTACTTCTGTTTTTTTGCAGCTGACAATGCCCAGTCCGATGCCAGAGTACCTTAACGTACACTACATCTGTGAGTCAGCATCACGACTCCTTTTCCTCTCCATGCACTGGGCTAGGTCCATACCTGCATTTCAAGCGCTTGGGTAAATGGACATACTCTGTTTGAACAGTTTGCCTTCAAATGAATTTAAGCACTGATCTGAACACTTCCCAGCTATTTTGAACTTTTTAGTTATGATATTATTTAGTAATGGCAGAGGGGAGGTTAACTGCAATATCTGATGTTACTGTGGTTACAGAACTAAAGCAGAATCGAAAGCATGCATTTAATTGGTAGATATTAAAGAACTGATGAACACCATTTTACAGGTAACCTGAAATGGTTTCCTGTAGTCTGTCTGGAATTATGTTTTGCTTCTTGAAATACTTGTAATATGCTAATATATGCCCTTTCACTAAAGTGTTTTGTAATACATTAATCCTTCTTATTAATTGTTATAAATAGTATAATTATATAGAGGGTAATACCAACCTGATATGCATGCTACCTAGAGTTGTTTGATTTTCTGCTATTTACAGGCAAGACTGTAATACGAGCCTTGTGCGTGCCTGCTGGAATGAGCTGTTTACCTTAGGCCTGGCACAGTGTGCACAGGTGATGAGTCTGTCTACTATCCTGGGAGCTATTGTCAACCATCTCCAGAACAGCATACAAGAAGGTATGTTGTCAGTCCTGCTAACAGATACAAGGATGTTTGTATAACATTTCTCATGAGGTATTTCCCCATCAGTGGCAGAAGTGTTCACCAGGGTCCAGGGGAAGGTGAAGCGTTCTCTTGCGTAATTCTCTTTCCCCTGGTGACCTACAATCTTGTTGCACTGACCTCACAGAGATGTATGTGGGGTAGAGGTGTCCATAGAGGAAATGGGATCATCTATGCCTGACTGACATTACAGAGAAAGACAGTCCATCCTAAAGTACTCTTTAGATGTGCTCAGAGAGTTTTCTTCCCACTCAGATGTATGTTTATTTTTCCTCTTAGAATAATGATGTCCTTCTCCAAACCACATCTGACCTTTTCCTTCCAGAACTTTCCTTCTCCTCTCTGCAGTGTAAAAACACAGCATTTGCCAATTATCCCAACAAGCATGTTCTTGCAAGTACAATGTGTTTGGATGCTGCTGTAGTGCAATAATGATTAATGTGTTCTGAAGTGCCCCTTGCAGCATTAAGCAACCTGTTCTCTTGACATTCTTTACATTCATGACAAGATATATGTAATTTTATTTTTTAATTCCATGTTGGTCTGTTGATAATGATGATTATATCTAGAATGGATGATGATCTATTATGTTTGCTTTTTTCCATTCTTTAAGGACACTTCCAATCAATAAGATGGATTAGTGTGAAAATAATATTCATTTTTAAAAGGAGGAAAAAAACAATGCTAGCAGGTTTAAACTCTGCAAAGACAGCATATTGCATGAAAGCGACCTTAAATTTAGATGTGCATTGAAAGCAGTTATAGAATACTATTTGGTACCAATTTTCTAATAATTTTTGTGGTGTCACAAAAATATTTATTGTGCACATGGCAAAAATTAGAAAATAGGTTTTTACTGAGGAGAATAAAACTAGTATATTTTTCTGGAGCTGAAGTATGTTAAATATTTTTCTAGTTATCTGCTTTGTACATTTTATAGTTCCACAATCAAATTGTAATCTACATTAGCTTAATCATTATAAAGTAAACTAGACTAAAATATGGTTCTTAAATAGATAGTATGCTTTAATTGCTTTCATAATGAATATGGGTTTTTTCTTGTTTTGGTTTTGAGGTTTTGTTTATTGGTTGGTTTTTGTTTCTTTTGGTTTGTTATTGTGTCATTTAAGAGAGCCTGGACAACCTCAAAATACAACGAAGTGATGCTCCTTTCCTGCACAGAGAGGCAAAAGTTGAAAAGATCAGTAGGGAAATCTGCCACTGGAAGTTCTACGCAGAGTTAGGCTTTTACTTTATATCTGTGTCAGAACACACAGAGCTGTTTATTCCGCTTCCATTCCAGGCAATGAGTTTGGGGAGGAGAAAGTGGTAGGACTAATGCAGCCTGTAGCTAATTCCACTTCTGTTCTCTTGCATCAAAATTGAAAAAAAAAATTTGTTCTATAACCTCTACTTCCAGTTGTACTGCATTAGCTGAGACTGGTCAAGAAAATAGGATCATTCGTGTTATTTATCTATTCTGCAAAGTTATGTTATATTGTGTATTGTATCTTTAAAATTAAAAAAAAAAGTGAAGGGATTTCAGAACTTTATCTAGGAAAATATTAATGATGAGGCTACTTAGAAACTCTGGAATTCAAGTTCGGTTTTTCTGAGTTTTTCTGGACCACATTTTCCCCACTTAATATAGGAATAAAAACATTACATTGTCATCCATCTTGAGTAACTAAAAATTTGTATAACAATTAATGATTTAAGAAATGTAGATTACGCTTTTGTTCTTATTTCAAGACTGCAAAAAATGGTTCTTCCATTCATTGAATCTTTTTATTGTGGTTTCAGAAAATAGATAAAATAGTAAGAAACTATTTTAAGATTTGGTTTAAGGTTCATGGGGTCTAAGCAATCCTCTACACTATTAGCTGTACAGGCAAAAATAAAATATTTGGGTTAAAATGTTATGAAATGCTAGCACTGGAAATTATGACTAGAATAAAATTATTCTAATATGTAGGAAAAGTTTTATCCCTTGTGAAYAGACTTACTTCTGAAGTTTGATAATAGTAATTATATATTCAAAGATTTGTCTTAATATATTCTCTTAATGTTTTTATTCCTTGACTAGTTAGTAGATATGCAGTCCAATACAAGAATTTACCAAAATATAAATCTCTCCCTTCCTAGTATTAGCAGCTAATACCATTCACTTGTAATAACATATATATAAATAAAATGTATTTTTAAAATCAAAATTTTAAGATAGAATATGAACCCAATTATAGGAATGTGATCTTTCAAGAGTTAAAAGAATCTGTGTATGTGTGTTTCAGTGAATTTACCCCATCAGACAGAAAAAATACTATTTACCATAGCTAATGAAAAGTTCTCTCCTAAAAGAACRGTTAGAGAAGGTAGCGCTGTCATTGCTCTTCTTGCATTTTCTTTTGGAAAAGTTAATTCAGTACTGTTTGAATTTAAAATTAGGGTTGCATGTTAGCATTTGCTTTGTTTCTGTTCATTCCCAGAATCACTCTAGCCATTTGTAGAACAATTCACCATAATTTCAGAGTCTCTGATCAGAACAGTACATCACTGGAAAAAAAAATKGGCATGACAGATTATGCCATCCTGGCAAAATTACACAGAAGTGTTAATATTCTGGTTTCTAGCCCTGTGTCTGACTCAGCTTTATAACTCTTGACTTACATAATAATTCAGRATATTCTTATATGTTAAGTGGTTTTAAGACAGCAGAAGACTTGAAAATATACTTGGTTTCTAAAACTTTATTTGTTAATATATTAGAAATGCTTGAGCTGAGATGAAATAGTAAGCAATATCTTTTTGTAGATAAACTTTCTGGAGACAGAATAAAGCAAGTCATGGAACACATCTGGAAACTTCAGGAGTTCTGTAACAGCATGGCCAAGCTTGATATTGATGGATATGAATATGCGTACCTTAAAGCTATAGTCCTTTTTAGCCCTGGTAAGGAATTTAGTAACCTTATCTTTTTAAATAATAAGCATTAATACGTCCATTTTTTTAGCATATTAAATGAGATTAATTTCTTGAGATGAGACTCATCTGTTAAGTTTCAGATAAAATGATTGTTTCATAATTATTATCACAAACAATATGTGTTTTAAAATAACTTCAGACCAACATATCCATGTTATTGCAGTTCATGTATATCAGGTGTTTCCTGTATATCCACCTTAGAAGATTAGATTCTCAAATTACCTTCACCTGAGAATCTGTGTGTAATAACCTATCTGGAATGTGTGCTAGTAATATTGGAATGTGTGCTAGTAATATTAGTGAGGTAAATGGTGAGGAGGATTAGAAGAAATATATTCTCAGAGTGACAAAAAGAAATTCGTTTCAATTTTAGTATTTTTAGTATACTCATAAGAGGAACAGCTGAAATATGTGCAGAAATACCTGTTTTATATAAAACTTCCACAAAATCTCAAAAACTAAATGTAAACAGGCTCTCTTCCATTTATTACCAAAATATGATAGCAGACAACTAAAGCATAATCACGTGTTTCTGAAATATGAGAATTTACTCAAAGAAGACACTTGAGATTTTCTGGAATGATAGGGTAAGGACATTAAAGAGATTGGAAGTGACTGTCTTTTCAGCAAAGATGGCCGATGTTTTTAGGACACATGGAGGTTAATCTGAAACTGCTGATAGGCTTAGTGAAAGGGAAAGTTTTGCTCAGAAATGCATATAATTTATTTTAATTCAAAGGTCTTTACCACTTTGAATTTAATAGAATACAAAGTTAAAGGGGTATGTTGTTATTGGTATGTTTGCTTGGGGTTTTTTTGCACTGATAATATTTTTCTCTTTGCAATAAAAGTTAATTAGAAGATACTGGTGTCCCGAAATGTTTTTTTGAATTTGTTTTGGAGACTGTCCCATTAGAGTTAGGTTTATTAGGGTTTTTGTTCAAGTTGGGAAAGCAAGAAAGTATCCAAACTCAAGGTAGCTCTGTCCTATTTCACGGGACAAGCAGTTTGGACACAACAGTGAAGATATTTTGGCTTAGTAAGATAGGTGATTTTTCTGGGTTTGCTTGTTTTTTTTCTATCATCATGTGACTGAGRAGCTGAGCCGGCTGGAATTAAAACGTGAGACAAACTTGGGAAGATTAAGACATGGATCTATCAAGAAAATAACCCTAGATACTGCTCAGTCAGCATAATTAGAACAAGCCACAGAAGCAAACATATTTAAATTTTAAAAAGCAAAGTTAAAAACAAACTCTGTGTCATTGCCTGGTACAGACTTTATTTTTGTCCACTTTCTTACGGATACACACAGCTACAGCGAGAAAAGTGAACAAGCTAATTCTGAAGCCAGGAAGCAAATGTTCAGATGAGTGGTTTCCTTTATATAGCTAGCATGTTAAACATCACAATACCAGAGATATATTTCATTGACATTAAATGTGAGACTCTTATAAATACATCTATTTCGCAATGTATAGGGAAACAATCGACATACAGAAATGTTTTGTTTCTTTAGATCACCCTGGTCTGACAAGTTCAACCCAAATAGAAAAATTCCAGGAGAAGGCACAGATGGAATTGCAGGACTATGTACAAAAAACCTATCCAGAAGATACTTATAGGTATTTATTGTCTATAGTACCCAAAGTAATGTTGTGGGCTGTAGCTAAAAAAAGTACAAAATAACATAATTGATGTTTTTAACATCCAGGTTTGCTTTGGGTTGTTTTACTGTTGATGAGAAAGAACTAGAACCTAATTCACAAAAGTAAGCAGGTTTGTTTAAAGATACATAGAAACAAGATAAGAGACAAGCATTACAATTTTCACAAAACCAACAACATAGCTTTGAATCTCTTTGCAATTTTGCCCTAAATTTTACAAGATACAGTATATTATTAAAATGGACCTTAGATATTTTCGCCATAGATATTCAAGCATTTTCCAGAGCACCTGTGTCAGTGCTGCCTGAGGTTTGCTATTACATGGTTCTTGTTCAGAAAATTTATTTTGTTTGGCATTTGTGATGCACATCTGAATGACAGCAAAATGCTTTCATCGCTGTCCTAAATTTCATATGCATGGGAATTCTAGCATTTCAACACCATCACTTCACTATATTAGATATCTGTGAACATCCTGGTAAGTGAAACACCCAAGCATTTGGCAATATTTATGCTTAACAGTACATTCCCCCAAATTCCTTCTCTCATTAGAAGCAGATTCTTTTTTCTGTTTTTATATGTATATATATCCAACTCCCTTCTTGCTATCACACTTTGTATGAAGTTGCTAGGCAGCTGAGGACTATGCCACTTATCGCTAAAATTTTACTTAAGCATTGTGCTCTTAAAATTGTGCAAATGTTTGCACTAATCTTTATGAATATTACTAGTCTCAGCATTGTTCATCCAGAGCTGTGAATTTCAAAAGGCCAAGAGACTTGTGTGTTTGTCTGTTTACAATGTGCATTAAAATATCCCTTTAATTAGAAAACTACAAAGCTACTTGGCTTTTCATTTCACTTGAAGGATAGAAAAGTAACCATTCTTTCTGTGGTAGCCATTTAATTTTAATTGTCTCTGTACTTCTATTCATGAATTATGTTAATAATAAAAGCAGTTCCAGCTCTTTAGCCATAAAGTATCTTAAACTGGTCTTACATGCATTTATAATCCATTGAACTTCTTTTTCAGGCTAGCCCGGATCCTAGTTCGCCTGCCAGCACTGAGGCTGATGAGCTCTAGCATTACCGAGGAACTGTTTTTCACTGGTCTCATTGGAAATGTTCCCATTGACAGCATCATCCCCTACATTCTCAAAATGGAAACAGCAGAATATAATGGTCAGATAACTGGCACGCCTGCGTAGTGGGAACAAAGCAGTTCGAGGGACTGAAGTAATTTTCACAAAAGACGATATAATTATGAAGTTAAAAGAATAGTGTTTCGGTATGTGCAGAAAATTCCAACTTCTTAKCAGTTTCCTGACAGATTTCTCCTTGTCTTTTTCTGATGTCGACAAAATTTAAAGCAGCTATTAAAAGACCTGCTATAGGACCTTTTCTGCCATAAGGAATATTTTTGATGCCTTTCATTTAAAAGGCTTTAGATTACTGAACATACTTTTCACATGCTTTGTATTTAGAAATTATCAGTGGTTAAAAAGAGTTTTATAATATCAGATCAGTAATAAAATTGCTTTAAAAGTAAAAAGAACAGTATGTATATATTTAAAAATATCCTTGGAATTAATGTCTAGCAAATGCCAGGGTATACTACTAGCACTTTGTAATCACTTCTTGTCAAAGCAGCAGCATCATCAACATCCTGATTATGAGTATGGAAAATGAAAAAAATGCGTATGTCCTTAGTCAGAATACTAGTGTTTTTTGTGAAAATGCAAAATGCTAAAGGAGACAATCATTCAATCTACAAAAAGTCACTTGCTGTTACATTATGCATGAAATACTTAGGTGGATTCTTAAATCCGATATCCACCTTATATGAAATTATATCTGTTAAATAAATGCAGTTCTAAAACACAGTACAGTGCAGTCATAGTGACTATTATGTGCTACASGAATTCCCCACACTGAAGAAAAAAGTTGTCACAATAATGTTTAGATATTCAGGTTCCTCAAAGTATCTATTCAGACAAACTCAATCATGATAAATGTTATGCTAAGGAGAAGCCTTTTAACTGTGGAGAAAATCAGTCTTTAACTGGAAGAGCAGCTGTGTGCTGCTCTTTGAGTATGCTCTTTGTATGCTCCAAATTTACTCCTCCTCTCTATACTCTGAACACCCTCWTAATCCAGCCACAGGTACAATTTAAGACCTGAAATGTGTGTAACCTCTGGCTGTCACGAAGAGTTTATTACAAATCTGTTTCTCCCTCCCTCACTGAGCACTYCCACTTTCGCAATTTTCTCAACTTTCCTGTGACTCAGTTTGAAACCAAAATATAATTAGGATTTACTCTCAGTCATGTACAATTGCAGTTGATGACAGGTACAGCATGGAGATATAAAATGAACTGTTTTTTAATTGTCTTGAATGATGTACCATCAACACATTTGCTAGTATTGGCCATATTAGCTGCTAGCATAGGTTTCATTTCAGTACAATCTATTATTATGGCTGTTAAGTATTTTAAAATCAAAGGGTTTTTTTTTTAAAATGTCATAGTAATTAATAGCTTCATCTGATCCTGGCTCATCAGATGCATTAATTGTTTTAATTATTTGTGTGTTAAAGGCATTCTTACTTTTGTAGTTTCACGTGACAAAAATCTAATCATAACTTCAGCACTTTTTTTCTTCTGTTATTGATATTTATTAAGAAACATCAACTAGGTTGGTGTTTGTGACTTTTCAGAGTCTGAAGTGTAGCCAAAGGACCTTAAGCATCTCTAGATGAGGCTTCTGAAGTAACCAAAAGTCCTGACCTTGTATACTTCATGCTCATTAGGAGGCTGACGTTTGTCACACTTACTGTGACACAAAAGACTATGTAATTTTAGCTCCTGGATGCATTAAACTCTTCTACAGTTATTATTTGTAGCACATTCAGACTTCTTTTCTCCGAAGAATATTGCAAAGAGTCCAGTATACATGCAGAGATGTGTAATATTGCACTTTTATCTCTCTCAGCTTTTGCTATAGCAAATGAAATTGTCATATTGTTCATGTGATGGAAAGTCTGCTCTCTGCGTGTGAAGTCAGCTGGACTACAGAATTTAGTACCAGCCATTTGATTGTAATGTAACTGCTGTGGGATTGTGTCAGCACTTCTGCTGCATAGTCCCTGGCTCAAGGGTATACAACTTAAAAATTAACGGTGACGTTAACATCAGAAGCAGTAGCTAGCTTGGAAAGAGWTGTGGCTACTTTCATTGAAATTCAAAATTTTATCGTGTTACGTCATTGTTCTACAGGTATTCAATGCATTGAGTTATTATGATTTTTTTGTCAATTGCAAAAATTATTATGGAGCTTTATTTGCTTTCAGTATTTCATAATAATCATTTAAGCAGATAAGTAAGTGTTTTAATGGCAAATTAAATATTCCTTAGCACAAAAGCTAGMCACTGAAATATTTAGTTTTGAATCTCAATACATACAAACTAGCTTTTCCTTGACAAACATCATTTCAACTTCCCATTTTTCAAGTAAAAGGGCCTAATTTTCTGCTTTTATTTGCAATTTTTATTACTTAGGATTATAGCAGTTCATGAAAGAAGCTGAAGGCATTATAGTTTTTTGGGAAGAAAGGGATCACATGAAATAAAATGTAAAATTGACATTTGTAAATCGAAATGGTAAATATCATGCAGGTCTGTTGACAAAAAAACTACACTCCTCACAAATGCAAGGCCACATAATGGTATCCTTGATCAAGCCCTGGTAAGTCACTCTGCAAATAGTTTTTAGATAGCTTATTAGGGWTAAAATATTAATCTGTGTAAATGAAATAATAACCATGTAATCCATAGGCAGGTTTTATTTATTGTGCATGCATTTAATAGATGAGATTAAGTAGTTCCATCCTTAAGATTTGGATATTACCACCGAAAAGCTATAAAGTTCCTCTTTGTATAGCATTACTAGCATGATTTGCTGGCTTGCAGAGGTCAGAACCAAGCTACTCAGTCCTGATGCCATTAACAAAAAGTACCCTTGCTAATTGTACACTGTTTTGATTCCACGACTAACACTTTGGATTGTTGAAATTTGAACATATATGAGTGGCTGGGCTGTTCCCTTCCCAGAGGCAGGATTTTGTGCTTCCCTTCTTTGGACTTCATGAGGTTCCTGTTGGCCCTTTTCTCCAGCCTCAGTGGCAGTAGGACCTTGTGGTGCACACAGCACAGCTGCAGAATTCAGCAAGTTTGGCACTGTCTCTGCAGAAAATACCACAACACTGATGTAGTTCTTAGAATTTCTCAGGTTTGTTCCATTCCTCCTCCAGTGACTGGAACACAGTAACAGGCGAATCTTAGTAGCTTTACTGTTAAATCAGTTTTAATTTTTTTCTCCTTTGAAAGTGCAGACATTTCCTTATGAATATGGGACAGGAGTTTTTTATGGTAACAGTTATTGAAAAACTATTTCTTGAGTATTAAATATATAGAAACAGCTTGTTTCCATGAAGGTGAAATTTAAATGCCAATCTTGTGTTAACAGAACTTGGAGCCAAAGGATCACAGTCACAAACTGATTCTCAGAGAAGTTCATCTCACTGAAGCTCTAGTTAGTGCCCAAAATTAWTTTTCTTCAGAATTTTTGCGGTCCTTTTTCTGCAGCTCTTGRAATGAATATATTTTAATTTGGCAGAAATACAGTAATAAMCTATCTGATTAGATTTATCTGAACCTGAGCAAATATGCATACACGTCATAATTCAGTCAGACAAATGTTAGAATTCTGTGCTGACTGAAACTGGGGCTTGCAGGGAACAATAATGAGGCAATAATGTCCATTGTCCATATGCCTCATTTGTTTTTGAGCTCTTGTGTGAAGGAACTGGATTTTGTAGATAAAATGCATTTGGGATTAGCTTTGTCATTATGATTTTAATTGCATTTGTGACAAATGAAGGAAGGTGTACTATTTTTCTTCCCTTACTATTTTTCTTCACTTWCATATTGGGCTAAAGAGACAGAACTAAGACCATGTGCAAAAGTAATTTTTTTCTGCCTGTTTACATTGCTTATAAATTAGCTAACAATGCTTTTGATGTCTGTGGAGTTACTCTGGCACAAAACTGGTAGAAAAGGAAAAAAATAATCTCCAAGGAGAGATCATACAAAATCATACAAGCCTTTATTTTAGCTGCCTTAAAATGTTATATTACTGAGAAGGCTTAGTTTTCAGAGCACTCTGCAGCAAGAAACTATTGTTGGTCTCCACTGATTACTTGGTGTCATTTACCAAGTCTCCTTTAGCATCTTCTGAAGCCCTTGGCTGCCCAGGCAGCTGCAAGGCCTCTGSTGGAGAGGTTTGGCTCCAGGTCTGGTGCAGAATCCACCTGGCTCTGCACTGCCAGGACATTCTCTTTGGCAAAGGGCACATCACGAGGCTGCGAGAGCGACACCAAGTCAGGGCTGAAGCTTCCTGAAAATGAAGTTTCCTGACTCTTGTTTCTCCTTTGGCAAAGAAACACTTCAGTGGGTTTTTTTGGATGTTGTATAGTACACAGGACACACAGATCCCTGAATGAATTCATTCAGGATACTGCAGGTGCCAGTAGATTTTTCTGCCCATTATAGGTGAGACAGTAGTTAGGATTCTTCCCTGATTACCTGCTGTTTAATTAGTAAAAGGCAATTTTAAAAAAATGGCACCAAGTAGCATGACTAGCAAAGGGTATTAGGAATAAGTTTGACTAGGAAAATGGAACTGGAAATGAATGGGCTGAAAATACTGTCCAAATAGTAACAAAGCAGCTTTCTGCACTAACAGCACCAGTAAGGGCCCTGTTTGAATCGGGTGGAGTGAGCAGTAGAATTGGCAGGTCAGTCAGACACACAGGTGTCTGCACATACCTACTGCATGGATACGAATCTGAAAAGAAAAAAATGTTGATCTTTTTTTTGATCTTTGAAAAAAAAAGAGATCCCTCTCTTCCTTTCCAGTTACTCTTAACAATGCAAATCAAGGGGAGGTTGGCGTTTTTCTTCACCTACTCTAGTCCATAAGAGGAAAAGCAGAAATACCAGCAGACCGAGGTAGTTTCCTACCCATCCTAGAGGTTTGCCACACTGACAATACAGCAACAGAAGAGCTTTTGCAGTAGTTGGCACTGGTGATAAGCATGGGCCAGTTATGACAGCAGCTGCAGTCCTAACACCTCGAAACATCCAGGAGGGATCTGCCAAATGAGGCCATSGTTGCCCTAGAAAGGAGAGCGAGGGTCAGAGAAAAGACAAATTGCCAGCATCTGCTGGATCTTGTGACAGAAAATTAGTTTAGAGAACAGCTTTATATGAAAAATTACCAGGAGATGACAAAGGAGAGACAATGAAAGCATTTGCTTTTTGCACCTTTTAATTCTGAAGTTGCTGAGTCATTTTAACAGTAAATATTCCTGAATTAAGTTCAGGCTTATTGTTTGATGCCATTAACCCTTCTTGTTAGATAATGCTACAAGCCTACTTTAGCTGCAGTCAGTGTTATCAACATATGGGAAATTATTGGCAGAAAAAATAATGAGAACATTATTTATAGTGGGGTTACAAGTAAAAGTAAAATAAAGTAAAATTCTTTGTAAAGTTTAGATGCTCCAAGTCTGAATATACTAGACTTGGAAAACATCATAGCCCAGAATTACCTTATTACTGAGATTTTTATTGCACAGTCATGCTAAGTTCATCACAGGTAACGCTGTTGTAATGTTCCTTAATTCCCACAGCCTTTGAGTGGGAGTCTGTGAGTTACATGAATGCTTTGAAATGGCTTATTATTGTTAAATTCATGCCTGTCTTCTTCCTTTTTAAAGGGTTTGAYAGAGTTGTACACATCTATTTTGTGCCTCCCACCATTGGGCATTTTTGCATGTTCAGTTACAGAACTCACTTGAGCAGCTGATGCCTATGTACATAGCTGTATGTATGTGTGTATGAATGTATATGTTTGTACCTCTCTGTCTAAATATATTCTGTACAGTGTATAGAAAATGCATAGTGTATGTATATATGTACAGATATGGAGCCATTATTCATCCATTCTACGTGCTAAAGTTTTTTATTCGTTTGCTAATCCACAGCTTCCTAATTAGAGCTTTGCACCTTTTTTTCCATACAAGTCTGAATTCAATACTTTATGTTCAGAACTGCCGAATATATTCCATGAATTTTCTGGCTTTTACATTACTCTGTTTACCTTTTTCTCATTTGACCTGTAGAAGTCTGCAAATGCATAGTTAATTGAGGCTATAATGCCTGTTAAAAATAATGAATAAATACCTATAGTCATAGAAAATACTTCCCTGCTCATTAGATGCTCATTCTCTTCCAGCCTTCTGAGATACTTTTTTGTAAAGTTGTATTTTTTCGTGAAACTTGGTAAGAGATTTTTTAATATTTTTTTCTAAGTCTTCAGCAGTGGTGAATTGAAAGTAAACCAAGTTAACATCACTGAACTGTAGCACACAGAACAGGAGTCAGTGGATACTGTTTAATAAATCAGTATTCATATTGCCACAGTGATCCCATAAAACCAACCTGCGAGTTAAATACAGACTGTGTGCTCTGTTCARTGAAACAGCAACTCTGGGACAATGGTAATTAAATAGTAGGGACATTGCAGGTGGTTTATTTCCTAGCAAGCATCAAGACTTCTTTAGGATTTTTACAATGCATTTAAATTGTATATTCACTTTCCAAAGCCATTCTTTTTATTTTCCAGCCTAAACTGAACACAAGTGGTTGCTTGATTTAGTTGTCAGACTAATGTCCCCTTCCACATCCTTTCCTGGGTCTGGAATCTGCAGCTCCTGCATTGCATGTGGCATTGCCACTGTCCACCTGAGCCCTGGGCACACAGTTGTGAAAAGAGATGTGGAGTAGGACGATTTCTTATTCATAATGAGGACCCAAACATTTCCATTATCAAAGTATGAATAGTTCTTGTTCTTTTTCCCCTTTGATGAMGTTAAAAAGGAAGCCTTCTGTACAGTAAATCTGTTAGCTGTCGGTTTTTTTAATAATTTCACAGTCTATGCAGGGCAGTAGTTCAGCAAGTCTCATTTCTGTCACTAAAAAGATGAAACAGAACTTTCTGGGCATTTATTTCCATCTTTTGTACTCAATGTGGCAAAGACTTGTGTATATTTAATCAGATAATCAGACACCAGTCAAAAGAAAGTGACTTGTGCATGTTTAAAGTGAACCACAAGTCTGGGAAAACCTTGAAAGTTTGCCATGGAAAATGCTGAGAATGTTCTCTTTTTTGGTGTATTGGTTAGTGAGCATTTGTAATCTTTTTTTTCAAATATAGGAATAAACCTGTAGTATTTCAAAACCTTATTTTTTGTGATTTTCAGCAGGAAAAATACTTAAATTAATGTCAGGAAATCCGGTGACAGATGGTCCTTCATTGTTGTCTGGACAACTGGGGCTTTTGAATGCTCGTTTTTCTCTTTAAAGGTGAACAGAAATCTGAAAGTCTGTTAAAGTCGTTGTACTGCAGGAACAGTTTTAAAGTTTAGGAAGCCAATTAGGGTATTAATCAAAATTGAATGTTTAAAATTTCAGGTGTGAATTCAGGGGTAAAAAAAGGCAACATTTTAAACCTAYGTTTGAATTGTTTGTATTCTGAAGGACAAAACGTGCTCAAATTTAGTGGCAATAAAGGCTCTGTGATAATAAAACACAGGTCCATTTTAAGATATTTTCACGATCATGGATTAAAGCAGGACTGAATAAATTTCAAACAAAAATTGTAATCTTTAAGAAGAAAACATTTTACTTGTAGACTGCATATGTTAGATTTTTCATATATGGAATTAATATCAAATGTTGGAATATTTTCAATAAGTAATCTGTACTCTGCAATAYAGYGGAAGCCAGTGTTCATAGTTTCMTAACTGAAAACTGCAYATTGTTGTATCTCTATCTGTATTGGCATACTAGGGAGAGCTGAGCTCCTACAAAAAAGAGCAAATTTTTATAAAAGGAAGCATCTAGTTTTAATTCCTTGGGATATTTTCTGGAAGGGCCTGTTCATTATAATTTAGAAAACTATTATTTATGTTTATTTTAAAAACTTTGCAGAAGTTGTTAATTTCTCACAGCTTCTTTTGTGAAATCAGTATTGTTGTGATAGCATTTTAAAATAATAGCATTTCTTTTTATTAAACGAAATTTTATATCCAATTAATGTCTTCTGTCACCAGGAGGAATTTGCATTGTTATGTCTGTATATGGAGTATTGCAGTGCATGATTTAGCTTATGCATTTTATTAAATGCTGTTGTGTCATATTGTTGTGGTTAATACCAGTAGCTAAATGAGGTTTCTACCATTAAAGTGATTTACAAATATAACTGCATTCTTGAGTTTTATTTTTAAGTTCATTTAATTTGCTCTTGAACAAGAACTGCCTAAGCCAAATACATAATTTGCCGTCTTTTAGGCAGAAACAGCATTTTTCCTTCACTACAGTGATTATCCTGTGAGAGATTTAACCGGTTTTCTGGTACAGAAGGGAAATTCCACTAACTTTACTGACTCGGAGGAGCTGCTCTAGGCGGAGCAGGAGTTTTTCGGAAGGTTTGATTTTATCTGGAACAGACGCGCTCAGGCGCCCCGGGGCCGCTCCCCGCGCAGGCTCCGGCAGCGCTCCCGCCCCTTCCGGCCGCCGCCATGCCCATGAAGGGTCGCTTCGCGRTCCGCCGGACCCTGCAGTACCTCAGCCAGGGCGACGTCGTGTTCAAGAGCTCGGTGAAGGTGATGACCGTCAACTACAACACGGCGGGAGAGCTGAGCGAGGGCGCCAGGTGAGCGCGGGCGGTCCCTGCACGGACAGCGGGGCTGAGCGGGCCGCGCCCTCCGCACGGACAGCGCGGCAGCCCTTGGGTGCTTTTCTCCTTCTTTCCAGAAAGTTCGTGTTTTTCAACATTCCCCAGATCCAGTACAAGAACCCTTGGGTGCAGATCATGCTGTTCAGGAACATGACTCCCTCGCCCTTCCTCCGGTTTTACCTGGGTAGGTTTCGCCAGGCCCGGCCCGGCTCTGGCTCTGAGTCCTCGCTCGGGAAAGAAAACTGCTCGATTGGAAAAGCGGCTTTAGCCAGTAGAGCTCCCCTAGACTCACCTTCATGGAGATCTCGCTTTTCCATTTAAACATTGCATTGTACGTTAACTGCAGCAGGGAAGCAAATCGTTTGTTTGCGGTTAAAACCTCTAAAGAGCATGCAGGAGGAAAGTGGTATCATTTGATGTGCTATTATGAATTTGTCCTGACAGACAACGGAGAACAAGTTTTGGTTGATGTTGAAGATAAAACCAACAAGGAGATAACAGAGCACGTAAAAAAAATCCTGGGGAAAAGCAAGTAAGTAACATTGTAAGCTGACGTATCATGTAGCATATATAATACAAACTTTTGTGGAATAAAAAATACCACTTTTCGCAGATAAAACTGACAAAAGCAAGGTAAAGTCCACAAGCTAGGAACTATAAATGCATCTGATAACCTGGGTTCAGGGAAGGAGAGGAGGTATTCCAATTCAGGCTTCGGATAGTAACAAACAGTTCTCTTTTCTAGAGAAACGCTTGAAAAAGAAGATAGAGAAAGGAAAAAATTATCACATCCAGCAACTTTTGGGCCCAAGAAGTATCATCTGCGAGAATGCATGTGTGAGGTTGAAGGCCAAGTTCCCTGCCCTGCTTTTGTACCATTGCCCAAAGAGATGAGGGGAAAATACAAAGCTGCTATGAAAAATGAAGCATCAGCCTGACATCTCAAGATAYCAAATCATGCAGCTGTTCTTCCTCAGGGCTGGACAGTGAAGGTGCTTCAGTGAGAGCCAAGCACTAATCGTTCCTGGGAACACAAACAAGGAATTCTGTCTGTTAGTACACACAAGCCTACCTTATAAGCCTTCTTACAGCTACAATTAGAGTAATTAAGTGAAAAATAAATAAAAGTTTAAACTGGCACAAAAAAAGCTGTATTTCTACAAAGTATTGCAGTCGACACAGAAAACAAAATGACTRGTCACTCATGCCTGTAGGTAAACAATTAGGCAAAACTAAGACCATGTTTTCTTTGGGATAGAGACTAAACTAAAATGTTAAATCTTAGAAGCAGCACAGAATTTCATAGTTTGCAGAAAGTGGTACAAAAATATTGGTGCTGATTTCTATCTTGTATTAACTGAAGACTGCCAAATGATAATGTAACTTCAGTCTCAAATCAAGTGTTGGATTTTAATTTATGTAGTTACAAACCAGAAACAGTTCGAAGTCTCATTTCAGGAAGAAACAGCTTTTACAGTTGATACTCTTATCTCTGAGAAGCACTGATCAAGTCAGGTACTTCAGATGGAAAGGAGAATGGGCAAGTTAGTATATGAAAGGTAAGTTTTAACAATCATCAAAAAAAGCCCCTAAATCATSATGGCTTCTGTCTCACCAAGCACATTATACCTGTAATATGTATAAACATGATTGATTGTAGTCTACTGACCTTTATGTCWGGCTTATCTGTGCAAGTCATTGTAAAACTGTTGAACACAAAATTTCACAATGATTCAAGCATTCTGTACAAATTGTCAAGGACAGACACAACACAAAATAAACATGTTGTTTTATTTCATCCCTGTTTACAAAGTTTCCATACAGAGAAGGGCATGCAGTTGTAACAAAAGTCAATACTAGTTAGCTATTGAGCTTTACTAGTTAGCTAGTTAGCTTATTGAGCTTAAGACATCTTCGTTCCCTTGTGCCTTGCAAGCCTCACAGCAGTCTCTATACCAGCAAAGGTCTTCACTTTGGAGATGACTTTAGTAATTGGCTGTCTAGTCTATCACWTTTAACACTGACAAAGATCATGAGGTATGCTAGTCTGTTACCTGCTTGTAAAAATAATCTATTACGTATACAATAAGAATACTTTATTTATTAGTGTATTAGCCAGAAAATATAAACAATGCCRGATACTTGCAACAAGGAAAAAAACACTTTAATGTGAAGGCTGAAATCACTGAAACATTTTTTCCTGTTGACACAAAAAAAAAAAAGTTAGGTTAGAGTGCAGGAAGCTAGTCCTGACTAGCAATCAARTCTGTCCTAAATAACTGCCTTATACTATCTCTGGTAAATTCCAGGGATTCTGTTTAGGCATCAACAGTTTTTGTTGCCTTTATGACTTTGGTGCTAAGCACCTATATTCTGTTCAAGACCTTTTAGAATCCTTTCTTCTACTTGGTGCAGAATAACACTCAGGGGCTCAATCAGCCCAAATAAAACATCCGTGTAAGAACGTCATGGTCTTAAGCCAGCCTCTTCTGCACACCTTTCAAATCCRGGTTCAGTACATCAGGTATCCTTAAATGGCTGGTCTGAGTTATTTTAATCCCTTACTRGTGCTAGTAAATGAGGATATAGGTGGTTTGGACTTGGTTTAAACAACAGTGCCAGAAGTACCTATCTCCACTTATTTACTAGGAGTAGCTCTAGTAAAACTAGAGTTCCTGCTCTTTAGATAGCAGAATTACTTGTCTCCAAAATTTTATGCAGTGCAGTTACAGTTACAGTTATGCCAGTATAAGGGACAAAATTAAAAGACATGTCCCATTCCACAGACCTTCACACTTCTSAGTAAGCTCACTACTGTTAGTGTTATACAGTGTTTTCTGCCTGATTTTCCTCTATTTCAGCTTCAAATAAAGAAACCCTTTAAAGCTAACTCACCACCATCACTCTTCCAACACTAATTCTTGATGATGGGCCTGTGCCTTTCAAAGATAATAATCAAAGCAGTTCAGACTCCCATCTTTCTCAAAAAAGCCTGCATTTTGCAGGGCTGTAGGCCTACGTGCATCACAGCTACTGGTCATCCCCCAGGCCACAGGATCACAAGAGGTCTTCAATCTGAAGTTCCTTATTTAAAACAGATATACTGATTCTCATAAAAACTGAGGGGAAAGTAGCATGAGGGAGAATTGGCATTTGGCACTATTGCAGCCACAGACTTTGTCTCCCAGCTTTTACAAAATTCCAGTTCAGTGGCATCTCAGCTTTCCATTATGAACAATTGTTTTTGTTGCTTGAGTGCTACATAAGTGATCCAGTCTCACAAGTACAACAAACATGATCATTCTGTCACCCAGAGGATTTAAAGGAATGTGCAGRTTCCATAATGTAATTAGCAACTGGAGGGTCACCCCTTGTATTTTAGTTAAAGTGGTGCTGGCCTGATGCTCCCTCCCTCAGCAGCTCTGAAGCCAGCGTGATGCTATGACACCATCATTTGTGCTCTGAGCAAATGGGAAACAAGAAGTGATGAAAAGCAACTAAATTTTACTTGGGAATCTATACACACATCAAAAAATTACTCATACTAAGATTAGCTGGAAAGTTGTTTTGCGTCTTAAAATCCCTTTTATGTATTTATTAGCACAGATCAAACTTGATCTGCAAGCCTGTACWTTCAGCACCCCAGAGAATCAGCAGCTTTTTAACAGCACGTTTCCAGAACACCATTAGCAATTCAGCTGCCCTGGGTCAGGAGAGGATGAAGGAGTTTTATTCATCTCTCTTTGGTCAAAAYCATGCTTGAAAGGCCAACGCTATAGCAGAACGAGGGAAAGAGGGAAAAGCAACATTCCAATCACTTCCAAATCACAGTTCCTTATCAGCACTTAACCCCTTTGATCAAAATAAATATTCAGTAAGACCAGTTAGCATTAAAAGTGCTGTAAAAAGTTATTTTAAAATTTCTTACTATAAGCTTTTGAGACAGCAGCATTCCTCAGTAATTCTTTCTTCAAGATTAAGTAGTAGTGGCAATGCCTAAATGAAAGTGCTTTGAAGTCAGGATTATCCCAATTGTCTCTTGTGATCTGCACTCCTGTCTGTAAGTATATGCTTTATCTTCCCGTATTTAATGGCAGACAACTATTAGACAGCCCTATTGCTTCTTCAGCAGTTAGATTTCTCCTTCTGCTTTGCTAATGTGTGCTTCAGTTCCTTTAAGTTCTCTGTCAGTACCTCCACCTCATCCAGTCGTCCACTATGTTTGGCATCAAATATATAAGCTTTAATATTATCTATCTGTTGGAGAAGCAGCTCTTCCTCTATAGCCTCCTCCCCAAAGATCTCATTGCCATCCTCCACTTCAAAGGGATTGACAGAGGATCCCTCTTCAAATGGATTCCCTGAATTCCAGCTGCCTGCAGGCTTTTGAAATGGATTTTCATCCTCTTCAAAAGGGTTTGAAGTATTTCCAGGTGCTCCATTACTTTGTTCATCCTCCTCCTCACTTTCAAATGGATTGTATTCTTTTTTATCACTTTGCTGAGCTGTGTTAGAGATAGAAACCATTGGAGAGGGGTCTTTGGCAAATGGGTTAGCAGGATCTTCCTCTGCCTGAGGGGTATCTGCTTCATCCTCAAAGGGATTTAGACAGGTTGGCCGATCCTGGTCTTTGTCATCATGTGGGACATCCTGGGGTTTGGGCGTGAAGGCCAAGTGCTCTCTAGCTGGCAGCTGCCCAACAACAGGAGTTTCAGAACTCRTGTCCCCTTTGATCCAAGTAAAATCCAAATGCTGTTTGACTTCTCTGAAGTCTAAGGAGTGTGTCCTTGAATGCTGAGACATGAATTTATGGTGCTCTCTTTCCCACTCTTTTTCACGAAGGACCTGAAGTTCTTCCCTCTGTATCTCCTCCTCTTCTGCCTGTTTTTTAGAAAGCTCGATAGCTTTTAGAGTTTGTTGTTGATCATATTCATCCTGAAGCTGCATCAGGTTCTCCTGCAACATATGGACCTCATCTATCCTATTAGCTGCCTTTGCTTGCTTAATAAAGGATGTGATATTGTCAATCTGCTGAAGAAGTGGGTCTGCTCTCTCACTCTCTCTTGAAATGCTRGATGTGGGTAACCAGCCTTCAGATTTTCTGACAGTTCCTTTTTTTATGTGAGTTTCATCACCATTAACTGCAGATGCAGATATGGAAATAAACTCCCGCTTCTCCTCTTGTTTTCCCTGTGTTTCAAGAGTGACCTAAACCAGAAAACATGTAGTAAGAAAACACAATGAGCTTTAAAAATTTCAGTCTAAATATCCATGGGTGCAAGTTAGCTAATCCTAAGACATTGCTGGCTGTTGCKAAAAGGGATTAGCTGCATTTGTGGTTCCTTTGCAGAAAATTCTTATTTTCATATTAATCCTTAAACGTTTCCCGTGAGTTGGTGATGATACTGATCAAAATCCTGTGACATCTGCCTCTACAAACTTGAGGGTAAGTAGGAGCAACAACAGTTCTCTTTGCAGAGAAAAAAAAGCCTAACACAGCTGTGCAAAGAGTGGTCTAGAGTGATTTGGACATTGATTGTATCACATATGACACAACAGACACATGCAATAGAATTTCAGTGTTTAAGGTCACTAATATCACTGGCTTTTGGAGTGGGATGATTCTTATTTGTCAACTTATACCTCAAGATGAAATTGGATTTACTTTATAAATAATGCTGTTGGCTATAAACTAATTTTTTCTCTCCTAACGGAAAAAAACCTCCTCTCCCTGAAGAGGCATCCTTATTCTAATATGTCCTTTTGCCCTAATAAAAGAAGTTTCCAAATTCTACTTATGTGAGTGAATTCYTGAACACAATTTTGAGGTCAATGCAAATTAACACTCACTTCAGGGCTTGCTCTGCAKGCACTGCAGCAGAAACAGCCTGTGCACCCAAGTCCCTGCTGTTTTCTGTAAGTGCCCAGGTGCTCTGTGCCCACCTACTTCTGTTCAGRGCAGAACACAGCAGGAGCTAGGTGAATCCCTGGAAAAGGGGATGGGACAATATGGATGAAGAAATGACAAACTAAAATCCGGTGCTGAAGGCACCCAGTCATGCTCACAAAGCACCCAGGCTTCTATCTGTGAGAAAGCCTTATACAAGAYATGACAGATCCTAACCTGTGTTACCATATGCAGTCTTCTCTTCTTCAGTTCTTCATACTGCTCCTTGGTTGGCAGGGACATTAGACCAAGCAGTTTTTCCTGGCAAAAATTATAAAAAAATATTTACAGTATTGCTTGCAGACATTCAGCCCATTTTTCAAGTCCTTGAGAAGAGAGATACTACTAGCAGAAACCCCACAAACACATCAAAGATGCTTCTACGCTGCAATCCCTACTGCAGGTCTGTGCACACCTTTGCTGCCACAGCTGCACTGCTAGGTGGGTTCACACCTCAGCAAGAGCAGGAGCTAAGGCTCACACACCTCTTGGCTTCCCCAGACCCAATGCTGCTCTTGAGTGCAAGATCTGTGGTTCAARACAGCTTATTTAAGGCTATTGTAAGTCACTTAGGTAACGACAGAAAATGCAGAAAACGTATAGAACTAAAGCTCCTGTCAAAATAGTTTCAAACCACTTAGCCAGGGCTGCCTAAACACTATCTAAAATTTACATTCATCTCACAGCTTATGCTCTGTTTACCTGAACAAAAAGTGTAGCTGAATATCTTATCATTCGCTGAAGTTGTAGTGTTTTAGGATGAGGTTGAGGATCTTCGTGCAAGCCTAGACTCAAAATCTTCTTACTGAATCAAAGCAAATATACAGCCTCATCAGTTCAACAACAAAATCAAGAAAAATGCAACAAAAGTGGGGAGACAATATTGGATCAAAAACTTCTGATGTTCTTTTAGATAAGCAGTTTTGGATATTACAATTTGTAACACTTTCCAGTCCCAGCCTTAAAAATCAAAGAAACCCCAAACAAACAATTCCCTCCCCCTAAATGGTGCTGCTACTTGTTTCCTCTATGCTTAGTTATTCCTACTRCAGCCGAATGCATGAATTTTAAGGCTGGAGAAGAAATTAGAAATCGGTAGTGTACAGGAATGGCATCTACCTTTTCAAATGCTCTTTACAACTGAGCATCCATATGATCAGTAAAGTCATAACAGAAATACACACATGTGGGGGGAAAAGGGGAAGGATGATCTTTTACCTTAAAGCATCTATAAATTCATACATTTTTTGAATCTCCACCCTCAAGTCATTAGCATGATCAAGGTTGTAGGCTGTCTCCCCAGCRCTATGAAATAAATAGAACTTTAAGTCATGCATCCAGTTAACGACACATACAACACTACAAGTTATACCAAGATGACCAAGATTCAACAATGGTAAGAACTGCTAACACTGAAGAGCTGAATGATTTTTATTTTTCAGTCTCATGTTTAAAAACCTTTGTGACAGAAGTGGAAAATTATAATCATTTTGTGAACATGAATACTTCATAGAAGATCGTTTTATTTTATGATGGTATTATTATTTACTATTCTAGGAGAAACTGTATTCTAACACAAGAATGCCACTTTACAAATAATACCTAAAATACACACATGCTTAGCAAATGTATCTATTTTGTGCGGACTTTTTTTCAGGCAACTTCATAGGAAAAAACCTCTGAGTAACCAAGTATACTATTAAAGCACAATAGTTACCACCACTAGAATTTGTCAGAAGGCAAAAGCCAGTAACTGACTGTCCACATGGGGATACAATCACAGGCACTGYACTAGAGTCTCCCCTTTATTGATAAAACAAATTAGGATTTGGTGGGGAAAATGCTTCTCCAGTTTTTAGCTTCCCTGTCTTTTTGTATCACAAATTTAAATTGTAAGAATCACTTTCTCAAAAACAACTTCACTATCCATAGGATTCCAATTTCCAGGACACAGTAGTAGTTAGAAATACTCAATTTTACCAATAACAAGCCTGTTGTTTTCTAACATTTATTTCCATTATCCAGGACATTTGCATTTTTACTTTTCTCCAGCTGCTAAGCCACATTAACACAATCTTCCATGAAGTCATGCCAAAAAGGACTAACGGCTTAGCATGTATTTCACCTTCTGTTGCAGAGTGTTTTTACAAAAGCAGTTTTATCACTAATTTTTCTACAACCATCAGATCTAAAGGACAGGTCCAGCAGTATTTGTTAAAATTTAACTTTTCAAAAGGACATGCTTCCTAGTCAAAGACTAATGTGTGTATTCCTCTCACTAAACAAGCCAAAAGTATAACCTGGCAACCTCTTGCAAATACTAATTGGAGAGATTCAAGTTACCCCAGYGAGAGACTACTACTGCAAGAAATGATGCACGAAACTGAGATATGAGAATGCTGCTTATTCACTGCAGCACAGGGTAAGCCAGGTACACTCAGAACAACTGCCAGGTGAAGGTGCTTTACACAGAACAAATGGGAAGTGCTTTAATGATCTGCTGCTGGCACTTCTTGAAAGTCAGAGCAACTAGGTAAGGACAACAGCTTTCTGCAGCTGTTTTGAAGAAGCTCATTTACACAAGAATTGTAGCCTTGTACTTTTTTTGCAAAGATGTTGAGTCAAAATATGACAGTAATGCCTCATGGGGAAGTGGCTTTAAAAGAATTAACAAATCTAAGAACTTCTCTGTTAACATTAGTAATTAATTCAGTACTACTTTGTTTGAGGCAGCATCCAGAAGAAAATAGATAATGAAACACTGACTTGAAATTTACACACTCTTGCAGGCTTAGTACACCACTTACTACTTCCCACACATAGAGGGAAAATACATATATTCATAAACRTAATCAGCAATGGGGCTTACTTTAGTGATTCTGCCATCCTTATGTATTCTGGTGCCTTCTGGTCAACCTTCTCCATACAGAGTCGTAGTTTCTTGTTTAAAACAAAATGTATAAAGAAAGAACTYACATTAAAACACTAATCCAAGAACATGCTGACATAAATCTTTTMATGCTGCTTGTGCAGATTTAAAGTTAACCATGATGAAAGCCACTTTAATTATTCAGGATGACAAGACCATCCAGTTATCTTTAGAACACATATGGCATTGTCAGGAACAGAAAAAGAGTTGCTCCATGCCTGCAAGGTGGACTTAGAATCCAGAAGCTGTTTGAATGGATGACRTGGACAACTTCTAGCCTTAAATCTTTCCACCAACAAGAGCACCAACAGAAACTCCCATTAATACTAACCTGGGGAGTTTGTGGACTCTACTGAAAAGATATCTRGTGATCATCAGTACCTGCTGCAAAGCACATTTGAACATAATGTTGATAGAGATAGTTAAAAAAAAAACATTTGCCACCAGTGTGAGGATAAACGAAGCTGACCACATTGAGTCYCGTAGTTCCAGTGCAGCCCACCAATCAAATACACAGCGCTCATCGATGGCTTAAACAAGCTCACAACTTAAAGAGACAGGTATCTCTGAAATACTAGTTCCAGATGATGAGAGTAAAGAATGTATTTTAAAAAGATGTTTGAATTTAATGTGGGATTTAAATCCTATATTGCAACTGATTCCAACATTTCAGACACATTTTTGTTATGTGGCATAAACATCCAACAGCGTCTTCAAACACAAGCCAGTGTTAAGTCATAAAGTCAGAGCTTAGACATGAGGTAACAAGCCRAAAGTCAAGTAGTGACCACTGCAGACATAGACACTGTATTACAAGGCTTGACTTACCTCATAGAGTTTCACAATCTCTGGTGTGTATTCTTTCTCATCAATTTGTTGCTCTCTTTTCAACAAGGTGTCTTTGCAGTGCTGGCAACAACGGATTCGGTCATCATCCTTCTCATCCAGAACAGAGCTCACACTGCTTATGCTGCTAATGCTGCCACGGCGGGAGCCGTGGACACTGTTAGGTGAGGAGTTCGGGCTAGTATGAGAGCCTAAGGCCTCTTTGCTGGCACTGGTGAGTTTACCTAAAAATTATACATGGGTAACTTTACAGTAACCAGAGAAGCCAACAAATTTACCAACACAAACAAACTGCTCTTTAACAGAAACTTCATATTCAGGTGGTGGTAGAAAACCAAGCTGAAAGAGTCTGCTGAAAGACATACAAGGATTGCATGACAACCACAACTGCAATCAGAATCTACGTCTTCACCGTAAACCTGCTGTATTTAAAACTACCTAGAGGGCAGAATGCTGAGCATCACCTACTTTGCTCATGCTTAGAAGCATTCTCATGTTTGAGCCTGCACAGTCACAGAGCAATGTCTAAAACAGGTTTGATAATGTGTCCAGGCATTGTGCTTGAACACTCCAAAAGGCAGTTAATGTAAGTTACCCCCACAGAAAATACAGTCTCCTCTCCAATGCACCAGATGAGGAAAATAAAAATTTAAAGTGGTTCTTAAAGGCCTTTTCATGAATTTCCTTAAGTTGTTGTTCCAAGGTCGAGCATTTGGACAACACAGACAAGAGGGGAATATCCCCAATATTTTTAAAYGTCAAGAACCTTGGAAGTTCCTACAGTTAACAGCTCCACAGTACTCAGCAGAATAAATAGTAACAATATTTACCAGAAATACACACTACTATTATTTCTAGTAATTTTTCCATGTTATGCAACATTTCCAAATCTGAAGAAGGAACAGAGACAAAGAATGGAGAAATCCATCTTTGTATTCTGTTTCACAGACAAATGTCTGCATGAAACTGAATGGAAGTTTTCTGCAGAGCCAGACTATTATTAGCATATTTTTTTCTAACGGCAAAAAGCCAGGATGCACCCAAAGTGAGCTAAGAAAACAAGGAATTAACTCCACAGTACTTACTTGCCAAAGGAAGACTGACAAGTTCCATGCACTTCTTGCACATAATAGACCCACAAAGGCGGCAGTGGTGACGTCGGTTCCGGATACTGAACTTACTGCCACAGTCTGGGCAAAATGGAACATCCTGATCACTGACCCAAGGCACGACAGACTTCTCTATAGCTGTGAGCAGGAACACACCACATAAGGAGTCACTTAATTGTTGCTTGTTAAACTACAGCGGCAAAGAGCCTCAGGTAAGCTCATACCAACCTCTTATTTTAGCTGACTCAGTGTTTGCTCTGTCAAACGATGTAAGCTGGTAGAAGATAAACAACATATTCAAGAAAATTATACTTCAGCAAGGAAAAAAACTCAACACAACTCAGCCCAACAAGAGGAAGAAACCTGGCACTTTTAAGAGAGAGAGGTCTCAGTTGGTTTTACACCAGACTCGTGCAACTTTTGTATTTTTTTCTATTTCCATATTCACATGTCAAACCTTTACAAATGAGAACATTTTGGACGTAATCCTTATTGCAGCCAATATCACTGCATCTGAGCCAAAGAGCAAGTATATCGYGGGCAGACTTTGAAGAATGAGAAGCTGGAAGGATCATGACAAAACACTGGGGAACAATTTAGTAGCGTAAAAGATAGAAAAAAATAAAGCAGGAAAACAGATGGTTCTTGATGCATGTGGAATAGCATCTTCAGCTTGCAAATGGGTCTTAGAAACAGAARTCATACCCACAGCACAAGGTCAAACCATGCATAGTACTCAAGGTAATGTGTAAAGACAGTCATAGTTATGTATCCTTTATAAAGWGTACTGCTAGATAAATGGGTACTTCATACTGAAATATAATTTTTTTTTTTTTTAATCTAGGAAACTTTTAGAAGGCTGGAATATTAAAAAGCACCAAATTTACCTTTTCTAGTCTGATTATTAACTTATTGACTTCAACTACATAGTGATCAATCCTGGCTGCTCGGTGTTTCTTGAATTCAGAAAGATGGCTTCTCATAGCACCTGCAGGGATAACAGAAAGTTGTCCTAGTCACCCAAGTACTCTGTATGAATTCAAATGCCTCCTGGAAGACAGCTGTCTCTTCTTTTCACCATTTATTTCTYATGTTTGAACTCAATTTTAAAGACACATTAGAATCCCACATTTTCACAGCGTTGCTGTAAATAAAACACGCAGGTGAAAGCCTAATCTTCAGGCTAGCAATAAACCATGTTTTGTTTCTACTACAGAAAACAAGCAGCACTACGTTAAAGAGAACATACTGCAACAATTGTTTTTCTCCATCTTCATTTGTCAGTTACATTCAGATAACTGTTACCTACTACTAGCTTTCTCAAAACGAACTCCCTTTTGTTTCCTGGCTATATGTTGAACAAAGGGAGAGGTAATCCAAGAATTACTAGAGGTCTATGCAACAGCAATTTTGTTTCAGATTTCTGATCGTCTCTACACCTTTAGAGGTCTGAATCACATCCCTGATGACAGTTCAGATTTCCAGAAAACTGATCACYAAGTCTTGAAAAGAACAATTCAGCAACTCTTTAATAAATGTACAATYCATAGTCAATAATGTTAGTTTAAGATTACTCCTTTTCCAAGTAAGGTGAGTGAGGTATTAAAAATCAAAGTTACAGACAAAAACCAAAAACTTCAAACCAACCAACCAACCAACGAAATCTTTCTTCCAACTGGTAGAACTAAAAATCAGATGTTGCTTTTTGATGCTACCTATTAGGMATCTTACTTCCTCATGCTAATGAAATAAGCAAGAAATCTTCGCAGATGCATTCAYAGGAGTGAAAGAGTCCCTCCGGGTAACTGATTTAAGACACTGCTTTGAAGACATCACACAGTCCCTTTCACYGATGCATGAGATCCCATGCCAAAATCCCAAATGTTCATATTCCCAACTCTCATCAGAAAGCAGTTCTTACTTCTCTAATGTTCATAAACGTTCTGCTTAAATTTGTTCTTAGCTAGTATTTACACTCTGATTGTTGCTCAAATAGTTACAAAGTCAAAAGTAAAGTAATAYACCGAACTCAGACCCTGCAGGTCCAAAGGACTCAGTTCTAGTCTGTCAGTACCACAGAGGAAACTTTCCCAGGATCCATCMGAAATGGTGCTGCTTCCTCCTCCAAAAATGGCCATACTTTAAGTGCAGCCCCCAAGCTGGAGATTTTATATACCTATAACTTAGCTATTAATTACTGGATTATCTGTTTATTATAGGCACAAGATGAAGCTAGCTGCACAGATGTAAACACAGATTCAGCAGCCCCCAGCAGCACAGGCACAATGACATGACAAACAGCTCCCTGAAGGGTAGTTTGGGTACCGATTCTCTGTGTATTTTCTTCTCCCCATTAACTGTATTTTCCCCACAGCCCCACCTAATGTAGACAGGCAATATGCGAAGTCAATATGCAAACCATAACTCCTTATTAGTCAATCCCATGCAGCACAAACACAATTCCAAGCCACTTGAGCAATACTGTAGCACTTTCCCAATTCAGATCAAAAGTTATCCTAGCTCTCCTACCTAGTTCCTGGGGCTCCCACATGTATGGATCTACTCCACCATAGCTGAATGACTCATATCGTTCCTGAGATCCAGAATCAGTTCTGTCATCTTCTTCTTGTTTTAGCAATTTCTTCTTTGCTCTTTTGGCCTTCTGGACTAGATCTGTGAAAAATAAAGCCAAATTATCTAACATGTTATGTAGTCACCAAATATTCATCATGTGAAGCCAGTACAGAATGTTCCTTTGTTGTCTGTCATAAAGGAGCATGAAGTCCTAAGGACAAAATAATAGTTCAGAACTCTCCATAATGGGACTTCATTCTAAAACAGCAATGTGTCTTAAACTACAGGACCTATCTTGCAGCATGGGACATCATGGAGTTRTATCTCCATTCTCCTAATTCCCAATTATTTTCTTGAGATTCAAGGATGTTCAACACTTTCCTTGTCTTGTTGCACAAACTAAGAATTTCAATGTGCTGAAATTCACATAATTAATTTTTACACAGTACAAAATTAATTGTACACACAACTGATTTTTAAAGTACTAAATTTTTAAACTAATTTTAAAGCCCACTGTTAAGAGTTTCACCARGAAAATTGATTAATACTTCAAAAGTCTATCTCAGGAGAAAAAAAAAGATCAAGACCACAAGGCCACTATTTCCAGCATACTAAAACAAAACCAGAGAAGTTTTTGCAGGAAACACACTGAATTATTGCCAGATTAAACATCRTTCTCGCAACAGAAAACGACGTCGTGTATGCAAGGAGGTAAGAAAGGGAAGYATCTTCTTAAAATGGAATTTAAAGCGATTTTCAAAATACCACTGAAAGTGGAAATCGGTAACAGACATGGGACGTCCCAAGCATCTCCTGCCAGCTCCACCACCCACACTTTTTTCCATGTTTTCCCAACAACTTTTCCTAACTTTGCGCTTTAACTGGAACTAGTTTTATCTACTGCCAAAACAAGAAACTGATAGACTGGGAACTGGCAAGTACTGGAGATTCCCAATATTCTCTACAGTTTTCAAGTAATGCTTGGGATTACAGTATAATTCTGAGTTTTCAGATAAACACAAACAAAAACCCTCAAAGATGGTGCACAAAATCAAACATTTGAAGAATATTGTTCTTCAACGCCTACTTTAGAATTAATTTATGGAAAGTATCGGGAGAAGATAAAAACCACGCTTGGCCCAAGGAGATTTACGGAAGAATGGAACTGCRTGGCTCTCCTGTAAGTCCCTCCAATTAGTATTTTATTACTGTCAAACATTTGAGAGCTCTCGAAGTACGAGCAGCGATTTCCCACGGCCGAACCGAACGCGTTACCGCCCTTACTCCGGAGCTGCGCCCGGACGTCCCGGTCTTCACCCGCGTGCTGCTCCTCGTAGTGCGCCTGCAGCTGCCGGAACGCCTGCAGATCCTTCAGGCACAGCGGGCACAGGAAGCCCTCGCGCACCTCGGCCGGGTCCCCGAAGGCCGCCGGGCAGCCCGAGGCCATGGCGGCGCCGCGCGCTGCTCTCACCGGCTGCCGCGCTGCGGGGGCTGCATCGGCCTGCCCGCAACGAGCCGGGACAGCGCCGTGCGACCGCTGCCGCGGGACGGGGGCGGGAAGGGCCCGGGCTCCCCGCGCCTTCCGTTCCCTCAGCAGCAGCAGCGCCGCAGCCCGCGCAGGCCCGGGAGGCCTCGCACCGCTCCCGGGGCGGAGTCCGCGGCTGCGCCAGGCAGGAGAGGGGCGGGGTTGGCGCCGCACCGCCCGGCGGGGGAGAGGCTGCTGAGGGCCCGGCGACAGCCCAGGGAGGACCCGCGAAAACCCGGGGCCCGGCCCGCCTCGCCTCAGCGCCCGCACGAGCGGTGAGTGTCTCCAAAGCGGGGCGGCCGCGCTCCGTCCCGGCACCGGGAGCGGCGGAGGGCGGGCCGAGTGCTGAGACATCGATGAGAGGAAAGGGCGGGGACGAGGAGGGTTCSTTGGCACCGAGGGGGACGCTGCCGAGCGGGGAGCTGTCGATGCAGGCTGGGAGCGGGAGCGGAGGCACGGCCTCTTCAAAGGCCGGCACCGGTGGCCGTGTCCAGTGTAAGCCCCGGTACCGGGCCCGCAGGTGTGCAGGGAGCCATGGCACAGGCACGGGGACCGAGTCCTCTCCGGAACGGGACGCGTCGCGCTGCACTGCTCTGGGACCGTTCACATCATTCTGATGGCTCTGTGCTTTGTATCGTAATTGCTGAGCATGCTCAAGAGGAGCACCGTTGCCAATAGCAATACGGCCGGCATTCCCTTTAGCAGCCTACTGAGTCTTCCTAAAGGAAGTGTCCCAAAACGGAAAGGCAGAGCAGCCGGTGACGTGCTTAGCCGCACATGGAGCCCAGGAATGGCATTACTTGCCTTCTGACAACTGTGTAAATCAACGAYAGGGACTTTGCAGTATCCCCTTTCTGATGCCAGCTTATGTTCACTTTCAACTGGCAGCAATMTCACACACTCCCAATCACATGGAAACAGTAGGAGTGTGTAACCACACTTCGGCTTAATGTGTTAGAATTATAATCTCTTAGAGGCAGAGATTTTCTTACATGGCAATACTATTTACACTGGAGTSCTGTCCATTAAATGTGAGTTCTCACTGATCATGCCCTGCTCTTCTACCATCCAGGTTAAGTCCTTTAAAACACTTTTGATACGGATTGTGATGGGGTGGGGAGAATGAGCCTCGGGTGGTTCCTGCCCTCTGAGGATTCACCTGCTGTGGTGTCACCTTCCCGGCTGTGCTGGAGCTGGGCACTTCCCTGGCACTGAGCCATACCTGTGCCACCAGGCACAGCTACCTCTCCCTTTGTTCTTCCTTGCCCCTTTTGTCTTCTGTTGAGGCCAGTGACTTATAACTCACTGAACAGTGAGAGAACACTACAGCAATACTTATATCTCTAGAAGAATTGCAAGATCCATGTAGGTGCAGAGCTCATGGGGTGGTTTGCGTTGGCATTTCAGTTTTCTGGTTCCTGTTTTATGTGCGTGGTTTTCCTTCTTAGCACTTCTACCCTGTATTGGTTTAATCAAGGAAACAAATGTTACAAATGTCTAAACATACATCTAAAAGTAATCTTAAAGCAGGTGGATTAACTCAGTTTTCTCTAGGAATTTCCCATCTATTTTTATTGATGGTCTCTGTCCAACCCTTCCTCATTGCCCTGCAGGAGTGGGGAGTTTGTGCTGTTCTTACTGGGAGGGAAAGAGGCTTCTGCACTACAATGCTGATAGTCCAYACACCCATTTCCTAAGACCAAAAGGATTTCCCTATCTTCATTTTTTATATCATGTCTCTGTACAGTCTAGACCTCACCCAGCTTCATCCCTCCTGCAGTGCTTTTCCACTGGATTTCTTTTGATTGTATTTTTTATACMTAGCAATGTCCTGACTGATGCTTTAAAGTAGCAGTTGACCCTATAATGTTAACTTTCTTAACCACAGAAGCAGTGACTCTACTTCAGCTGTGGTGATGATGTTTTCAAACTTTCTTCAACTAATGAGTTAYTATAAGTAGTAATAAAGGTGTTTGTTAGGGCCACACGTCCCTTGGAAACACTCAGCCCATGCTMATTACAGTGTGCCAGCAAAGAGATCAAGGCTCATAGGTGTGTGGGAGTGGGCATAGAACAGTAATGGTGAGAAGCATTGAAAATAGTTTCAGGAAATGTTAATTATACAGCTGGTTTATATTGACTTTCTCCTCACATTAAAAACAAAGATCATTTTGAAGACACTTGGAAAATCTGTGCTTTAGGAATCAAACTCCCTTATGTCTCAGTAACTGGTAATACCCAGAAATATAAAACTGCAGTGGAATCAACCAAGAACTCATTTGTATGAGGTTGTTTTAATCTCCATTAAAGCTGGAAATAAGATTTTGCATGACTGTGCTGCCACRTTAGGGCCATTGCAAAGCTTGGTTCTGTGGGTTTAATTTGGATTGTGCAGAGGAAATTTTTCRACTGACTTCCATGACTTTTGGACCAAGTCTGTTGTTGGTTTGTTCTCATTCCTGAAAAGCCCCAGAGACAGATAGTGCACTCCCTCAGGGAACTGTACAACAGCAAAGCCTGGTTCTGCAGTTGTCACAGTGTGGGTGACAGAGCAAACCTTGTTACATATGGATGTTTGCATGGATATTAAATTCTCTTAAATTCTAATAAGAAATTACTTTGAGGGGAAGGTATACATTTAAAATAAGATGATGAGAGGSACGTGCAATTAACAAATTCTTACCTTACAACTAAAGAGTATATATCTATGTTCATATTGCTAAAAGATTGCACTGTATTTACTAGCTGGCTATTTTCTGGTTAGCCGAACTCCAGAGCCAAAAAGCTTTTAGGGTGTAGATAGATCTGACAAATACCTAACTTTGAACTTSTGTGTGCTTCATAGTCACGAAGCTGTTAAATCCCCAGTGGCAGTCAGTTCTCTGAGAATGATGTCTGTAGGCAAGTGTACTTGACTCTTAGTATGTCTGCAACAAGACAGATAAGAGGAAGAAATCAATAAATAGAGATGAAATTTTCATACAGATACTGGAAGAAAATGTCATTTTGATCAAAACAAAAATCTGGAYAATTTGAAATACTGGATTGAGTTACTTTAAAAAAAAATAAGYTACTGTAAGTAAGTTACTTTAAAAAAGAGGACTTTTGAAATATGTCACCCATGTTTACCTAGTTGGTAATCTTTTTCTTTTGTGTTTTTTACTTATTTTGAAGATTTTGTAGCGAGTGGTGTTCYCCAAGGTTTAAGAAGCATTCATTCATCACTGAAAATGGTGTATGAAATGGTATTCTTTGAGAAATCATTTCTTCCCTGATAAAATGAAAATGAAATGTTTTAAAAGGCAAAATATGCAGAAAGTGTGCAGAAGGAAGTTGACGTATATGGAATGTCCCCAGCTATCTTCTCTCAGGATTTCTTCAGCACTTGTTTATTAGAAATCCCCTGTCAACAGAAGAGGTCTTTTCATTGTCACATGCTAAACAGCTTATTGTCTTCAAAGTTAGAAATTTTTTTATAGGTTTTGTTAAGTGATGATCAGCCTGGGACCATCTAACTTCAGTGAAACKCCTGAGATGATAAATTATTTTTCTTCAGGGTAGCTAAACCATATGGCAAAGCTGACTTCTGTAACTGAGGAGGAGCTCCAAGTAAGCTAATATGTCTCAATGGTATTGACGRTGAATACTGATGGAAAATATACTCATTTGTTCATAAAAATTACATTCTAGCAAAATGTTGATGTGCTGTAACCTCTTTGCATGTACAAGAGGTGATGTAAATAACTCAGTGCACTCAGTAACTGCATATCAATTGCAAAAATCAGTAGATCTATTGTTTAGAGCCACAAACAGGAAATCAGCTTCTCATCAAGTTCCCTGTGAACTGAGTGACAAAATTGCTGTGAATTTAGCCCAGATGCATAATTTTGTGTGTCATACAGGTAGAAGATTTATAAAGGGAGTCTATTATCATTCTGCTTCAGCAGCAAAACAGTTTTAAGTACAAGTATATGCTGACCACCAACAYACAAGGAGATTGTACATAGAAAAATACCCTTTGATGTTAATTTACTTAGCTTGAGTTGGTTGTCTGTTTTTCACACTATTGCAGCAYGTTTGCACAACCAATAAGGACACCAGAGTTGACTATTCATGTTTACTGAATAATTCATACCAAATAAACACTTTCAGGAGTCTGACCAAAGAAAGGAAAAGCATTCCTWTGAGAGGAGAGAAATCAGAAATCCTCACTGGAAGGAAGGGATCTCTTCTTGCTTCATTATTAAGTGTCTGAGGAGAAGACATGATTTCAAGTGGTATGACTGAAGTGTGGACACACCRTGGTGGGAGTTCTGGTGAGGGCTGTACAGACTCATGGGAGTCACAACTTGTGGTTGAGATGCTCAGGGATGCATTCATCCTTAGACCYTTYGCACYGTGTAGTCTTTTAGGTGAAAAGGGTTTTCCTATGCCCATTCCAAGTCAAACTATGAAGTCAATCATCTATTTTGTTTCAGCTGAAATTGTTCCTGTCTCTCTGTTGTGCTTACTGGCTGGACAGATTTTAGTGTACAAGGACACAAGTCTCCAGAATGTTATAATTTAGCACTGAAAACCTGCTTTATTTCATTTAGAAACAATGGGCATATGTTGTTCTTTTTTCTCCCTCGCTATTTATTTACTGATTTCACTTGTGTGAGAGGAGACCATACAATTATTCTACTTCAGTAGCATCAGAACAGAAGTTTAAGACCCCGTTTTAGTCATTTAGGAGCACATAGTTGGATTATTCTGGGGTTTGGGCTCCTAAGGAAATACGCACTGTTACTAAAGTGGGGGAGTTGAAGATTCTCAGTATTTGGCTTTTCATTCAGATGGGTCCTTTAGTTCCTTTGCTTTAAGCGTGTGACAAAGCCATTAACCTGCGTGGGAATATTAATACACTGAAAGGTAGGTGCAGAGGTCAGCAACAGGAAGCCGAAAGGGTGTGAACAGAATGTTTCAGTGAACTGGCAGTTTACTTCACCAAATACAAATGCTATACAATTATTTTCTCACTCCTCTGTTTCACTCTCCCATGCTGATCTCTTTCCTGGGTGCTGACGTTTTTCTTCTACCCTGTCTCTGGTTACATCTTCTACGAAATCAAGCAACAAGCTGCCTTTGCGACAGGTAAATGACCCCTGAAAGTTGCAGGGGCCTGTGTCAKCTGAGCTCTCAGAATTCCAGTGCCTTTTTCCAGGATGCTGGCGTTTCTCACCATATAGGTCTACCTCATAATTCCAGCCTCTTTTRCTAGGATAGTGGTGCTTGTACATCACGTATCTTCTGCCTGGGTATTCTCTTTTGGATAACTCATTCATGTAGGTTAGCTGTGCCTTAGGGCTGTCAGCAAACTGATCCAACAGTGACTTTTGGCCAAGAGACTGTTGCCTTTTCAGCTCCAGATAGACATCAAGATCATCTTCTATCTCTCTTTTTCCTGGATGCTGCCTCTTCTGAATGTTTCCATAAGATGTGTCTTTCTCAACATCTCTGTTTCCAGGACGCTGTCTCTTCTCCAGGTTACTTAGGTACTTCTTCCCACGATGTTGTCTTTTGGAAAGCCATTCTAGCTGAGGGGCATTTGATTCTGTTCAAGAAAAAGAATAATGTTAATGAGACCACATAATCCTCACTAAGGAACTTGAAACAGGAATTTGTGGATGAGGTTCCTAATCTGTTGCTCTTTGAAAGCCAACTCAGTATGTCCACTTACCAGTCATCACACTGTTAGCATTTCTTACTCATTCTTAAGCTCTTTTTAATATTTCAGGTCTTGGATCAACGCGACCAATTCTGAGCATTCATGTGAAGAGGGAGGATGGCTTTTTCTGYGGGCACTTGGGGCCCGTTTGTCCTCCACTCTGGAAGGGCCCTGTGCTGCTTGATGCTGGCAGATACCTATGTGCTGTTTCTTGCAATCCCTGAATYGGATCTTCCACTGCTGAGTAGTGGTAACAGAGCATCTACAAACTGGGAGGCGCAGACACTGGAGCAGCCTCTAGCATTCCCTAGCATTCCCTGCCATGGAAAAAGCCCACCTCTGTTGGGGAGTAGGAACCAGTGGGTTGAGGTAGGAGGGGAATGGCAGCACCCCACCTCGAATYTGCATTCGGTACAGGGGCCTCAACTGTGGCATGTCCTTCGTATATCCTCTTTGAGTTTCCCTAGGGAAGCACCTGCCAGACAAGCAAGTTTTCTGTGACAGGCTTCTATGTTTGTATTATGCAGCAGCTGCTGAATGATAGTATAGCCCTTCCTGAGCAAAGAGATCTTAGAGAAGACAGCAYCTTTAAAGAACTCTGTGTCAGCGTATTGCAGCAGCCCTCTTATCCTTCCCCTCCCCTTAGTTCCAGTGCTAGGTATAAACATTAGAGCCTGGAAATGATACCTTGGCTCTAATGAGCACGGCCAAGCGCTATGCCATCACCAAATGGTGTCCCCAATGGGATACATACCTTTATTAATCTCTTCTTTCTTYTCAACCTTCTTGAGGACTGACTGAAGAATGAGGCTTTCAGATCTCTGAGGGATGTCGTCCAGGGCACTTGTTTCCACATTCTCCCTCTCCTCTGGAAGATGTCCCCCATTGAAGCAAACACCACACAAAGGCAAGCAGAGGAGTAGCAGTGGCAGCTGGATGGATGGCATTGTGGGACAGGGGTTTCTGCAACTTCCATTGGGAGAGACAACAAGAGGGGAGGAGGATGGAGCAAGCAAATACAGCAATAACAGCAGTATTTCCAGACACTGAAAAACAAATACGACACTGCTGCAGGCATTTAAGTCTCTTTAGGGTCTTTCCTCATTTCGGTTACTAACCTCTCTGTTTGTTTTTTATCCTCCAAAGAATCTAAATTCTTCATAATTAAAACCAGGCAGTTGTTCATTTTTCTGRCATAAAAAATATGATATGAGCTTCCTAAGGTATAGGTGATTCTGAAAAATAGTGATTTTGCTTTGCCTTCTGCCAAGAGGCAAACCTAATTTCCCCCTTAAACTCTGTACCCACAAGGTACAGACACTTACACCTGCTATCTCCAACATGTAACTCCCATTGCTAAGGGTTCATTTAAAAATGATCCTGGGATTAGCAGCACTTCCATTCCACCTTTAGTTAAAACCAAACTTTAATAATCCACAAGTTTTTTACCATCTTTTTCTGTACATTTAAAGTAGCCATGTGCCTGGATATTTATCAGGATGAGAAGACAGTTACGCTCTGTGTGACAGGGAGATTTCCTGTATGAAAAGAAATGAGGGAAGTACCTCATGTTATTCAGAAACATAATAATAAAAATTAGATTCTCTATTACCTTTTGCCCAATTTACAAGGGATTTTCTATTTCTTCTAGCTAGCACTGAATTCCTAACACATTTAGGGATTTATTTTGCAGTAAACAGAGTTCCTCCAGTGGAATAGAATACATTTTAAATACTGTTAAAGCAGTCACTTAYCTTAATTATATCTTCAGAACATAAAAGAAATGCACAATTTTATGAAATCTTACAAATTTTTAAATAGAGAATGAGTTTATTACTTTTTTTATCGGCAGGTTTTTATCAGTTCTGATTCATTCCTTGGGTAACAGCCCTAAGAACATCACCTAGGCTATTTGACTCAGAGCAATCTTTAGACAGAAAGGTAGAATGTGCTAAAAAATTGTTTGGTAAATTACCTGATTTGTAGTTTCAGATTTTTGCCTGATGCATCTGCCAACTCCTTTAAAGTTGTTAGCACATCTGAGCTTCAAAGTTGCCCTTTTGCTGCCACAGGCACACGGAGTGTCCAACAGAACCGTTGCTTGTGCTCTTTGGCTGGCTCAYGTCTCTCTACTTATACCGTGCTGCCTCTGGAGCCTTTATGCAAATAGCTCTGAGCTAATCTAGGGGATATGATGTGTTCTTTGGTTGGTTGGTTGGTTGGTTTTTTTTTTTAACTGCTCTCAGCTGCATTTTTAATGCATTTTAAGATTCACCTAGTTAACTGCTGGCATCCATATATCCATGCTTGACTCCCAGAAATGGTTATTTTCCCATTCTCTAAAGAGACGATATTGTATTTTATGTGACTCAGCGTAAAGAAAAGGAGGTTTTCTCTGCTTAACAAAGCTAAGCTTATTTGTCCTCTATTAAGCAACAGTTTTTAGATAGAGAGGTAGGTAATTAATTAGACTAAGGAAGAAAGACAATGGCAGAAATGTAATAGATTATATTTAAGTAAGTGTATACCATGGGTTCTTATTGTGAATGACACTATACAGTTCACAATTACTTTTTTTTTTTTTTTGCATAGGCTTCCACAAAAAGTATTTCAGAATTTGGAGTGTATAGCATTAAATATTAAAACATGTTTATGTTGCTGCTATGTGTTCCAAAAGAATACTATTGTAACAAGAAATCAGATTCCCGGTCTTTAACCCGTTTGTCTATTTARGATATTGCTCCACAAAGTGCTGCTCTTCCAGGAGGCACAGCTGCTTGGCATTTCCTAGGTGTAGGAACTCCTTAAGGTCTCTCAGGTTAGACTTTAAACAATTACTGTATTGCCCTATAAATGAAAGTGGGTGTTGATGAATGGGAAGCTGCCTGGTTTCATTCCCATTAAAATCTGCTTCTTGACCCTTTTGAGCTTACCTTTCAACAACTGGGTTGAAATCCTGTGWTACAATTATATCCCCATGCAAAACTCCTCAGCAAGTTTATATTCGTGGCTATAAAATTACTTTCACAGTGCAATGCCTGGAACTTCCAGCCTGGCCAGCTTTGCCTCTTTGCTCAGACTTATTTTTATCTTACTTTGGACTCATTTAGTAGAGTTTTAATGCTTTGTTTTAAGGAAGAAAGTTAAAATAAAGCACCTCAAAGAGTTGGAGTTTTTAAATGAAAAAKRGCCTTTTTCTGTTTCACAGGTCTGTTTCAACTCTGTCTTTTTAATATTACATCCTTCCTTTTAGAGTTCTGTTTTGCTTTTTTCCAGCCACATTTTTTTCAGTTTTATTTTCCCTACAGGTAATTTTTCTATTTAAAAGACTTCTGGAGATTTATTTTGTAACTATAAATGTTCTTTCCTCCCCCTCACTCCACAGTTACTCGTGACACTGAGATGAATTCATGGGTAGGAGGGAGAGTTTGTTTTCTCAGACTCCAGAGTCTTCCAAGCTTGTCACAAATGCGCKGACACCCCAGTCTTGCCCAGAACTTGGCTCACATAGGGTTCAGCTCCCAGTCCACATGTTAGTCTGTGGYAGGTTCTACAATTGCACAGAGATGTTGAATGACCACATTTCACACCTAAATACAGCATTTCAGCACCACTGTCATCCTCAGCTTCTTTGTTCAACTGCTGTATGATGTTGACACTCATGTTTTGTGTAGTTAGACATCTGTGACRTCCTGGAGTCAGGCAGAAAGTTCTCCTTGCCTCATTTTTGCATTTTCACATCTTATTTTGACTGCCTTGCTCTTGTCACTATCAGAAAGAAGTAACTGAAGTACATTGCTCATTTTTAGTATGGCCATCCCTCTAGGAATCCTGAAATACAGAATTTGTTATGTGAAGTGCTTTTCTTGAACTATAGGAATAAAAAATATTCTTGTTTGGAATTAATGAGTCATTGCATTTGATACAAGTTTCACTAGGAGATGCTGAATTTTTAAGTGGCTTGYCCTTTGTCACAGATCCGTAGTTTTAGAGTCAGGAAGTGACACCAGAATCTATTCACTTGGCATTCCTGTATTGAAAACAGGTTTGATTTTTGGTATTACCTCACAAGACATACATCTTTCTTATTTAAAAGGTTACCTACATGAATTACTTCTGTGTGCAAGACTGAGAGAAATGCTTCAACTGACTACTTAGAGCATCCCATTAATTTTTATTAAGTGTACATTGTCACTAGAACTGTAGTTTCCATCGTCTCATCTCTTGAAATAACTTTTTCCTCTTGGATATTTCCTGAATTGTATTTCTTGCAATGGCTGCAAATCTGAGCTATTCTGTCTGAACAGCTTTCCCATTCATTTTCACTGGCTGTGAATATAAAATCTAACAAGGGAAACAGAGGTAACTCGTCTACCATGTTCCATTTCTTCCAGCACCAACTTGCTGTTGCTTAGTGCAAGTGTCTATAGTGGTAAACACTTGTTTGTGATGAGAATTCTGAGGCCTTTTGGGAACAGCTTTAATTAGAGCCAGGTGAAGAAATTGGCCTGGAGACTCTGGTTAAATTATTGGAAGCTCTGCTGGAGATGCTGAATGACACTTGAGGTCTGACCTCAACATGATAAGGACAGGTACAAATCCCTTCTGAAGGCWGAACCTTCAACTGACACCCTTCTCAAAAATTCCAGCAATGGCAATACCTTCTGCTCTGACTGTAAGTCCCAGAGTTTATATTTTTGCAAATGTAGAAATGKGGAAGCTTAATTTTTTGAATTCACTGAAACTAATAGAAAACCCTTTGAGGAAACTTAATACAGGGAGAGATTAGGCCTTCTGCGTTAAATAATGAGTAGGATGAGTATTGAATGAGATGAGAACATTTATTTCTTTGTGAGGAAGCTCTTAATAGAATTACTGAGTAAATTCCACATGGAACACATACACAACTCCCTGTACCAATTTCAATCCAAAAAGGGAACCATTACATTAGAAGGAAGGGGCAGTATCCCACATAGCATTAAAACTGTTGCCAAAAGGTGTATAAATTACATGTTGCTTTTCTCGGCTAAATAGTTTTATTGTTCCATGAGGAAGCAAAACCAAAGCATTATGACATTAATGCCACATATTGGTTTACTGACAGATTTTTCAATATTAAACAGCGTATTATGAAGCCAAAACTTGACAGGCTTAATTGTATACTTTAGAGTCAGACTAACTCACAGTTTGTTCCTTCTGGGATGGTGACAGTTTGGAATTAAAGATCTCAATAGATTCACTGCAGTGGTTTTTTATTTTGTAATTATCTCTGCGATGTTTATGCAGGGTCATTTCYGTAGTTTTCTTGTCAAGAGAGCCCTGTGATTTGGGAAGAAACTGGCTATCTTCAGAAAGAGTATCACTGTACTCTGTTTCTTGTTTCAGGCACAGTCCAGGATCTTTCGAACTACATAATGTCACTTAATGAACTAAGCAAGACTCTATGCTCCAAGCACGAAAAAAACCTCCAGCTGCCCAGCCTGTTGATTTTCACAATTGCAAATGACAGCACTCAAGAGATTCTTGTGCACTTCCAACAGGGAAKCAGTCATTGGATGAAGCAAATTTACAGCTCAGTTCACCTTGCCAAAMTACTGGTTTTGAGCTGGAGCAAGTTTCATGGTGTTGTAAGAATGCATTTAGGGAAATTTGATTTGGGATGATAGAAAGCATCCAGCTTACTTTTCAGAAGCTAATCTGATTCACACTGGCAGCTAAATCGCAAAGTCAGTTGAGTGGTTGTAGATAGAAGGTCACTACTTCCACAGCAATTGAAGAAGTGATACACTAAAGCGTTTGCTCTGTTCTGGTCCCTTACACTCCCTCCTAACACACACTAATGCAGCTTTTAAAATCAAAGAAGTTTATGTCTTATTGTTGCTTTCAATTGTTGTAAAAGACAGCTGTTCACTTGCATAAGTTCCTCTGTAGAGTGACCTCAATAGTGGCTTTAAGGGTGCTGTACATGTGTGATTTACCCTTCTCTATGCTGATCTGCTAAGAAAGGGAAACGGGCCCATGGCAGGACCACCACAACAAGGCAGTCGTG